ATGAAGTAATCACAAACATCCTTAAAATTTGTGAAGTACTGCAACAAAGATGAGTCTGCAAAATTCTAATCATGTTTTAAATGTCCTGAAGACTCTGTCCAGGCTCTATCTTTGTCATTCCCCATGCATTGCAATAATCATAAAGGCCCTTACTCCTACTGTGTAAAGGTAGGTGAAGGGGTAGTGTCAAATGCCACATCACCTGCTTAGTGGGATGTGATAAAAAGGAATTTGGACTTTGTACCTTTCCGGTTTAAAGTCAAATTGCTAATGCTTCCTGTACAGGAGGTTGTTTTCCTATGCAGTTTAGTAGGTGACAAATTTAATAGGAAATGATTAAGTAAAAGCAAAGAGTGATGATAAGGGGTTTATTCTTCTTCAAGGCTTTTGATAATTTCTTTTCAGAAAATAATACAATCTTTAAGGAATTTGTACACATCTTCAGCCTCCAACAAGGCTGCTGCAGAATTTCCTGTTTTTGTGTTCTCAGAACTGCTAAACTGCTGAGGCTGCCGGTAAAGACCTGTGTGTGTTATCCAGAAGAGGTGGAGTCTATAGCAAATCCAGATTCTTCACTGGTATTTTCAAATGAGTATACTGAAGTTAGAGGTATTCCATCTCTAACCTCACAAACGGGGCCAGTTCCCACAGCCCCAACTCATCTGTGCACTAACCCTTTCTATTTATCTTCTGTCGTGCTATCTTTTCTATGTATGAAACCATGGATTTTGTTGCATAAGTCGCCTGAAAGCCAGCTGTAAACATTTACATATAAAAAGGTATTAAGGCAGTCTTAAAACATGTTCTAATGGGTGCAGAGCAATGCGAAACACACAAACCTTGGAAGCAGCTTTGTTACTCCCTGAGATGTCAGATCCTGGTCTCGGTGTGAGCAGACCAACCCCTCGTCTCCTGAAGTGAAGAATCTTGTACCTACAAGGGGCAAGATCCTAATCAGATTCCCAACTGGAAAGCCGCTCCAGCTTAACGCCAGGCTGAGGGTAGATACAGGTCTGGCACAGTCAACAGGGAGAAAGTCTGTGCTTTCTGGATACTCTCAGAGGTGTTTATCGCTTTGCAAACCTCCCTGGGAATGCAAATACAGCGTGATTGATGGATGCACACAATTCAACGGAACAAACGCTTTCAGCAGATGGGTAGCCCAACAGGAACCTCCGAAGATCCTATTGTACAGGAACAAGAGTGTAATTATGATATTTTCAGGCATATATTCTGCAGGAGCTAGGACGCGCAGAAACTCCTCGGCAGTCCCCCTGCTTTGGCTGGGGCAGGAGCGGCAGGCGGAGGAGGCCGAGGGGACCTGAAAGCCTGTGGGCCAGGACACGGGCCACCGAGGTGTGGTGCCTGCCCACACAGACAGCCAGCACTGCTCTGGCACCAGCCTTTAAAGCAACACTTCGGCCCCCACAGGTCGCATGCAGCAAGGCCTCTTTCTTTCTGCGACCCACCAAGCGATTCCTTATACTTCACGGCCATTTTGCAGATGCCAACAGGCCCCATCCTAGCACTTCCGCCTGAGAAAAGCCAGGCAGGGTCATGGCAGCCATCACAAACCTACTGTCCCCGAGGGCCAGGCACGGCCCTCACCACTGCCTCAGTTTCCCTCCATCCCCTAAGAGGTGCGGGGAAGTGTGACAACCCTGGGGACACGCAACTTTGGGCCAGCCGAAGTCGGGTGGCCATGGGGACAGGCCTGCTCAGGGAGACAGGGCTGGCCAGGCCTCGGCCTCCAGCGGGGCCCCCTCAGAGACACGCGCAAGACAACCGGTGGACGGGGCAGGCTGAAAAAACACCAGGCTTTTGTTTTGAGTTTTTGGATTTTTTTTTAGGCAAGGGTCAGCAGACAATGCTTACGCCAAATGATAATAGCTGCTAAAGTGCTATTACCTGTTTTGTGCATGCTGGTAATTAGCTGCTGGTTACGCGCACAATTAATGGGCGGACTGTTTAATACCGGAAATCGCATTGTTCTACTCGGGCTGCGCGTTGTAAGAGTCAGCACGGGGCAGTTTTGCCAGGAGTTATCTATAAAAACCTTCTTGAAGTGCAGTGAGGTTAAGCATCTGGACAGCTTCCAGAGAAGAACAATTGAGCTCAGCTATACTTTCGCAGGAGATAATTTGCTTTCAGGTTACGAAACCTGCGGCACCCAACCTGCTACGAAGCCGCTCGCTTCTCCGTGCTGCGATGGCGTGCTTGGCTCCCGGAGGGCTCATCCTGGAGACAGCGGGACACGCGCAGCAGAGCCCCAAATCTCACCCGGGAACATGCTTTTCCATGGGAGGGGGGGAAGGTATACACCTGTGCATTGGAGGGAAGCATTTCTTACACAAAAAGTAGCAATTTGAATCCGTTCCCTGGGATTTTTATATTTATGAGATTGCATTAGCTTCTCAAAATTCTTCCGAAGTGCCTACATGAAACACACCTTAAGATCCTTGAAGCGCTGTGATCTGCTTCAGTTCCCCTCAAAAGATCCTATGCACAAAACCAGAGCTTATTTGTTGACAACAGAGTCTAAATGCAATGTATTGCTTTGGCTGTTCTTCTCCTTTGCCTTGGATTGCAGCCTCTTCCAGAGCTTTGATTTCCAAATGACTTGTTAAGCTTTACCGGGCCTGAACATAAAAGCTGTACTTTTATGTTTCTTATGCGGCGTGTGGAATGGGGAAGCTCAACTTAACTGTGGATGCATCTCCTAAGACCTTTCTTCCTCTTGGGGCTCCACGTGTTGCCGCTTTATGAGAAGGCTGACTTGCTTCTTCAAAGCTTGTGTTGTTCCTGTTATCAGAGAGGAATCAAACAAAAAGGGGAGTTTCCACGTGGGAGGCAGTGCCAACACTAACCGTTATTTCATCTGCAATAATAGCTCAGTGGCATAAGGGGCACCCACAGCCAAACTTACTGTTTTTCTTGTTTTTCTGCCAAGAGGATTTCCTGATTCCTGAAATTAGCCCCATTGCCAAGTGATACAGTCAAATCACGTGGTCAGCAGTCCTAATTGCCTTGGGAATACAGAATTCAATTAACACAGTCCCAGTCCTAAAGCATGGACCAGGGAAGAACTGTTCTCTTCCACAGAAAGCCTGATCTATCCATAAAATAATAATATATATACATACAGTCTATAATATAATGAATTAGCCAGAGCATATTTTTATTTGAAAATTGCTTAAATACTATTCTAATACAGAGGCAATTACAGCAGTATGAAGTCAGGAAATAGCATGATAGCTTATTCCTCTTTTCTGATAACACTCACTATGCTGACATCTGGCACTTTCATACCAGCATGTAACCATGGTGGTTGTCTCACTGTATGTAGCTTTACATGCATTAATTTAATTAAAGCTGTATACTCTTGTAGTGTAGACAAAGCCTAAGACTTTTTTGTGGAGCAAAGCTGGATATAACAAGCCCAAATCTTCTCTCATGCTACCATAAATGGGGATGTACAGAAGTCACCGGTCCTACACAGATGTAGGTCATTACAAATCAGATTTGAAATCTGTAAGCAGTCACTCTTGATTGATATCACTTTATATGGCATCAAAGGCCCATTATGCTAGGGAGGAGAACAGAAAGTACTATTATAACTAAAGGACCTTTTGTCTGTGCTCCTGTGCATAGAACCAGCAGCAAGTTTTGGTTGTCCGTAGCAAGTCCACAGGTTTGCAGAGGCCAGTGAAAAAATACCATCTACCTACAATGGCTCGTACACAGAAACAAGGCTTTTTTACCGCTGTCTTCTATGACTAGTTAGAAATGTAATTCTGCAGATTTTACATAATTCTCACTTGATTTCCAGTTTTAATCTTTACTCACATAAAGAAAGAATGACAGCTATTCACTCCGCAGGCAGGGTTTTTATGTGCTGATTTATGCCTTAATGTTACATCAATCATCAGAAAACAGGGATGTAAATAACAAACTTTGTTTTAAGATTAAAGCAGCAAATGATTTTTTTGAAAGGATAAGTAGTTGTTTATTTCATCATAAGGAGGTCAAAATATACAGTACTGTATTATTCAGATGCTAGTGTGGATTAAAATGTCAGGCCCACATTTCCCTGTCTAGGTTAGCCCAGGGTTGAATAAACCACAGAAATCTTCTTTTTCTGTAAAATTTATTAACTACAGTTATTACAGGAGTCTTGTAAAGCAGGGAGGTGCCTGGATTTTGGTTTTTATTAGAATTAATTACAAGTATGGATATAAACAAATATCTGATGAAACAACTAAGTTTCCTATCATCTGAAAAACATTAATAACAGGATTGTAGGTACAGCCTTGAAGTTAGGACTACGGTGGGGACGCGGGTGCCCCCTTGTGTTCCTATTAGAACCTTAAATAGTTTTTAATTCGTTATCCCACCTCACCAAGGCAAGAGAGAAGTTGTCTCAATCACGTAAAGCCTTTGCATTTTAGCGTTTTAATTTACATTAATAATCAATATGAAGCATAACTTTATAACCACTGATTCTATTATACTGCAGACTTTTTGCTAATTTCAGCTCTATTGAAAATCACAAAAGGTGACTTGGTTGTTTTTACATTTAAGTATAACATTTATCAAAGGAGATTTTTTTTTTTTTCTGGGTGCTTTAAAGCTCTCTAAAGCTGAGGATTTGTTGCTCATGCCTTGCCGCACAAACTGCATTCCTTTGTCACATGCATTTTTTTTCTGCCATTTATTTAATTCACTGCCACTTTCTTACCTTACATACTCTACCCTCTATAGACTTAAAATCATCCACATGACCTTTCTTTAAATATACTACACGTTGCTTGATGATCTTTAGAGTTGCTTTCTAACATTTAATGAACAAACCCTGTAAATGATATACCTTAAATAATACACCAATGTTTGCTTTAGCCTCAGGCATTTGATGACAGCCATGTAAAGGAAAATAATGAGTCATCTCTACTGCAAGGGAGTTTACAGAGAGCTGCTGATCCTTCAGCAGCCAAGTGTATTCATTACTTGGATTTCCCAGCAGGTAGGATAGACACTGGATCTGTTTGCACTTCCGCATCAGACATCCTTTTGGAACCCTGTGGAATAAGATATAGAAATTTGTAACAATTTTCAAATATTTCAGAACAGTTAAGTCTGTCATTATGTGCTATTTGCTACCAGATATTTTCCACTCATTTCACCTCTCTGCTTTTCTTTATTTGCCCTTTATTTAATATGCATATGTATATGAGCACCATCTGTATCATGACAATCCCAGAAAGCTACTGCTTGCAACTTTGCCTAAATGTGTTGGTTATTTTAATATAATTTTCCCAGTTAGCATAGAAAGCAATTGTCTTTAGAAACTGGACTAACATACAGAGACATGTTGCTGTGTACTTGTAGTATTGTAGTTTTGGCATAGCTTTCTCTAAAATTTCCCCGGCCTAAACGGTTCACTGAAACCATGCTAAGAGTCCTTCAAGCATGATTAATAGTGTATTATAGCCAGCCTTGGTCTGCTCTAAGTTAAAGGAACATTAAGTATTTTTATGCATGACAGGTATTTGACAATGTTATAGTGATAAAGCTTTTTTACACTACAAATATAATTCTGGTTTTGGAACTGGTTCAAGATACTAATCCGGCTTAGATTAAGGAAATGCATAGATCTAGTTATACCAACTAAATTTTTTACTAGTAATTGATAAAAACTTGGCTTTAATTTAAGATGCCTTGACCTAGTTTTACTGGCCTTGAAACCATCAAAATTTCAGAACGTGACAGCAAAATGGATCCACAAACACTGTTCCAGAGGTCACTGTTAACATTGTAGGATGCCAATCCTATTTGTAGCCAGATGCCTAAATCATTACATGCTAAACAGAACAATCAGCATGACAAATCTAAAGGTGACTGCTATGTGCTTTCCCTACAATAGGAACTGTGCAGTCATATGGAAATTGTCCTTTCACACAGTACGCTTCACACTGGAAACCTGACTCATCACTTCAGGTAACCATAGGACTATTCTGTGTCAGACTGGGAGAGTAAAAGATCTCAAACTTCCTCATCCCTTTCAGGGAAGTAAAAACAGTGGGGTTTTTATACTGATTAGACTCCACCTCACTGATATTCTTTTAATTTTTCACCTTTGAAAATCTAAGTATAAAGAAGAGCAGCCAAATATCATAATGGACTAAAAGAATCCCCTGTCTTTAACTGTAATCTTGTGCAGCTCAACTGGCCACAATGGGTTTGCTTCTGCTTATACTGACTTTGAGTTTGGAAGATGGTCTAGAACAGAATAAAATTTTTTAGCCACTTGCATGTAGCAGTAAATGGAAGACACATAAAAAATTGTGACAGTTTCTAATATACATCAAACAATTCCAAACCAGCTAGTCGTTCCAAATTTATCCAGCAACCCTAAAAACCTACACATCAGTTAAAAAATTCCCACATTACAAGAGTAATGGAATCTGTCAGCTGTAGCTGTTCCTGTCTGATGCATGAAGATATTAAGCCATTTCTAGACAAATCTAGGAAACAAGATTATACTATTTACCATTCTTCCTATACATAGGTGGAAGGAGGAGTAGAGGAGGGGGAGCTCATTTGAGCTAATCCCCATTTTGACTCATTTAGCACATTTGCAGAAGAGTCATATGTTATTTGCTTATACTACAGTCTCCCTGCTGCACCCATTTTGAAGGTGATTGCTGATTAAAGCAGGAAGCTTTGAGGGAGACTGGCTGATGATTCTTGTTAAACTGGAATTTCCAAGCCTGATGTGAAATAAAGAACTTTGTTCCTGCCCTTTTAATGGACAAATTCCAGCTCTGCGCTCAGATTCAGAAGTACAGGTACCACCGGCTCACATCTTGCTCTCAGATACTTTGCATAACCCCTTTTAGTGCAGTAGAAGTTGTCTGCCCTTGTGACAACTAAGCTGGAACATATTATTTTGGACAGAGCACTTTAAAGTGCACACACAGGAATGTCATGGTATTGGAGTATATTTTTTTTCCAGCTTGTGCTCAGGAGAAGTTTGTGTCAGTATACCAGATACTCTGATCAGAATAGGTCAGAATAGTTTCCACATGCTAAGCACTCCCAGCTTCTGACAAGTTAAGTATGAGTTATTCCAGCTCAGAAAACAATGTCATTAATCTTTTTTTCTTCTTCTCATTTTCTTTCTAATCTAATCTTTCTAAGACTCACTAAATACCTTTGCATTTTATATAGCTTATAAATTAATCTCTTTCACCATAGGAACAACCACTGGATCTTATCGTCTGTGCTAAAACCACGCAGCCAGGCCGTAACACTGTTTGCTTGCATAAGTGGCTCCATTTGTGTTGAAAGTTTCAGCATTTGTTAGCCCAACTGGGAGCAGATGTTTGAACTGCAGTGTTCTCATCAGCTGCATTCTTGTACTATGACATCCTCTTACTCTGTGCCCTTTCCCAGAGGAATTGACAGATTCAGGAGAGAGTAGTGTTAAAATAGCTGCTATGGAAATAGCTCACCAGAATTTAGGAGGAGCTTGGTGGGCACAGGTTATGTGAGCAAGTGAGGCCTGCTGGATCCCCTGTTAAGTATCTCCTGCTTCCATTTTATCAGCATAAAGCTTAACATTTCTGCTGAGTTGTTACCAGATATTTGAGTTATCTTGAAATGGAAATTCTGGCATTGGTTTGCATGTGATCTAATACTTTTAGATTAATGATTACAGCTTCCTGGGACTTAGTATGATCACCTCGGAGATGTGTAGATTATTTTTCAGAAGCAATGCAGAGCTATGTTTCTTAGGTGTGGGTAATCTTCTTGGGGATATTCAAAACGAGGTAGCCATTTTCTATGAAATATTTTCCATACACAGACCTCATAGTTGTGGTTTTTTGTCGTTTTTTTTTCCTCCCAGTTCAAAAGCACAATAAACTGACCAAATCAGCTATACTGTTATAATTTTTTTTTTTTTAAATGCCATCTTCTGTTAATGGGAGAGAGAAGCTGTAGGAATACTATTGGCCTCTATAATAGCAACAGAAGATGAGGGACTATACACAGCCAAACTGTCTGGCATACTACTCAAGCAAGCAAAAATATCTCACTGAACATCTCTACTTCCTCTACATTTATTCTGCATTTTTTCCCCCTCAAAAGGTCTTTTTACCTCTTCACAATCTCCTTTCTTGCTCAAAAAAGCTTTTTCTTGCCCTTTGAATCAGAGACACCTTTCCCGCCTCTCTCTGTGTCTTTCATGAACTTGCAAGCATGCTTCCTCCCTAGCTTGCACTTTCTCATATCTCCCTTTCTGGAATAATTCTAAATTTGTGTCTGTTATTAAACTCTATGAAAGATTTTTTTGATACAGCTTCAATGAATGACACCATACATAAAGTGCAATTGTCAACAGATAAACCCTTTCTCACAAGTGGCTACAGTAAGAATTTTGATAAAGGAGGCCTGTCAGGGCTTAATTTCAACAAATCTCTAGACCAGAGAAACAAATCTCAATTATATCTAGAATAATAGAGGTAGTTAACATTTGCCCCATTTCTAGATAACCTATGCCAGAAAAATGTGTCTGTCTTCTTCCCCTCCAGTTGATTTAAGAGACCTGTTACGATTATCTGAGTGGTTTAAGTAAGAGAACTCCTGATTTCACTGGGGGGGGGGGAGGTTGCCAATACCCAGAGTGGGATGCAACACCTACACACCATACTTGTGAGCACAGATCAGGTGTTACACACACCCACCGATGTTGCGCACAATAGAAATTTCATATCAGATTTGGAAGCAAAGGGGGTGAGGAAAGAAAAGTGCATGTGTTTGATAACTTCAGTCAGCTAGTATAATTCACAGGTGCATATAAAACAATACCCTGGGTTTTTCACATAGTGTTGAGCAAAATGATTTCTCCTCTTGATTTCACTGCGAGTCAAGGTGATTGGAAGCCAATGCAAGTTGGTAGTTACTCCAGGTGCACTCCAGGACTTCCTTGCTCCATTGAAACTACAGGAAAACCCCACTGATTTTGTGGTAGACCAGGATTTTACCCCAGAACAATGGCAGAAGTGGCAAAAGCAGAAGTGGCTGAACTGTTGCTAATCAATATTACAGAAAGTTATTTTTCTTTTGTTCTTAATTCCCCTTCTAATGTGCAATTACTTTGGTAATGCAAATTGCCCTCTGTAGGATACATAGTAATTCTGTGAAACGCGTGCAAATTAAACACTTCTTATGATGTGGAAGAACATCTGCCCCTGAATGAGTCATACTGGTCTGCATGGCAGCCTAACTTTATAACCCAGTGTCCTAACTGGGCTAATTTTCAAATCTGCATTACCATTTCAATCTATACTGCTTGGCTTTTCTTCTTTCAGGCCTAGAGGACTGCCTACCTGTCTGTCTTTGCTGACAGCCTAGAAGCAGGGTAGGGAGAAAGGAACAAAAGCTGTACGTCTCTCAGGGGGCCAGCTGCACTGGGAATCATTGCAGGTAACAGTCAAACCTGTTTAGGTTCTTTACATCACTTGAAATTTGTGATGAAGCGCAGTTTACACACAAGGTTTCCAAAAGATGCTCAAAATGAGCCCACAGCTCTGCGGATTCATTGCTGCTGTGACAGGGTGAGGAAAGAGGAGCAAACTGCATCCTGCCTATTGATTTATAAAAAGCAATGGAAATCTGCCCTCTTGCAGAGGCTTGAGAGACAGTCCCAGGTCTAACCTGTGCTTTTGTTTCTGCAGTGGCCCCTCAATATGGGCAAGGGAAAAAAAAAAAAGCTTTCCATCTATTTAATGCTCCAAGGAACCGCTAGCTGCATCAGTAACACCAAGCCCTGTAGAAACCCAAATTTTTAGCATGCTGAATTCTTTCATTGCTACATTTCAGGTATCAGTGAAGGGAGAACAGCAAATTTAGGGTAAGATTTAACAAAATAAAGCAGGAATAAAAATACCATGTGTATTTTTTGTGTGTGCTTTAACTAGCCTATAACTCATTGCTAACACGAGGTGCTTATCTTGTGACCACTATGCTGGCTCCCACCCACCCAGTGGTCTACCTTGATTTTTTCCTTGCAGGGATTTCCCACCTTGCAGGGATGTCCCAGCTGCTCTGAAGCAGCAGCTGAACCACCCTCGTGGCAGGTGGGTTACTCTGGTAAACCGGCACCACCTCCGCTTTTCCTTAATAAACACACCGTAATTTGTAGGTGGTTCCGTACCTGTTACAGGAAGAGTTGAGTCATCCCCGTAGCCAAGGCATGAACCTCTAAAACAGGGGTGTGGGAACAATTATAGCTCTCCCATAGTAAACCATACCTGCCTGTGAATCAGTACCCTGAGGCCCAAGTTTTCTCGCCTTTGCCCAAAAACTTGCTGTTGTTTGGCCTTAGTCCTGCAAGCTGCTTGTGAAGTTGCACTCCATCCGAGCACAAGTCTCGCATGGTTAATGGCTTGCAGGCTGGGTACTTAAATCAGCTGAAAAAAATGACTAAAAAGATAAGATCAAGTTAACGTACAAGGCCCTTAAAAAACCCTCCAAGTGACTGCCTCTTCTCTGTCTTCTTGAAGGAGGGTTCCTTTGAAGCATCTCCTCCGTTCTGGATGGAGTCGGTCTCGGCTGCTTGCTGCTCCCGGGGGTCTGGCTGCTCCCTGCTTTCCTGTTTGCTGCCTTTCTGCTTGCTCAGCTCCACTGTAGACTTCTTGTCTTTTGAACTCTCTTTGCTCTTTTGGCCCACAGGTTCACTTTCAGCTGGGGCAACTGGCTTCTCTGTAGAGTTTAATGTCTAAAGCAGTTTCAAACAATGGTTATTTTTAGTGTTAAATGTAAACATTTTGGAAGGCGATCCATAAATATATTCAAAAATGAAAGGCCACCTGGCAGGGAGAAATCCTGCTGTCCAACAGGTTTTCGTTTACAGAGTTTGGGACGAACTCCTGCAGCTTTGACTTAGGGAAGGACTCCCAGGGAGCCGATAGAATTACTTACATGAGCAAAGACCGCAAGATCAAACCATCCCTGCATAGACTTGCTTTATTTACGTACATATCTATGCTGAAGCTGTTTTAGGAGGCAGAAAACATGCACGGAAAGATGCAGAGAGTCACAAGCATGCACTTCCAACTGAGACTCCCCCAGTTTTTGCATCCCAGGCTGTGAAAGCACCCAAAAAGTGCAAGGGAAAAATTTTGGAGAGAAAGGAAGTAAAAGACACCATAAAGCAAAGGATAAAAACAACTCCGCTATAAAACCACAACACTCCACCAAAAAGTTAACAACATAGAGCTTGGCTATGGAAGGCTGCAGCATCGTAGAAAATTTCATGCACAAATGCAAAAGAAGAGATAAGCAAACATTCCAAAGACAAACACAATGACAGAGCAGCTATATATAGTAAAGAAAAGATTCTGAAACTCAGAGAAGTACGGGATATGTTTGAAGTTCACAGGAGAAAAATCAGATCTGGCAAACAAAGGATAAGACAATGAAACTATCACAGTTAGCAGAGTAGCAAATGACTAGATATGCTTTTGCTAGGACACCTGTTTGCAAACGGGATTTTCTTTTTTCTTAGGCAAAAAATAATATTTCCTTATTTATTAACATAATAATTAAAATTGCACACCTATTTGCCTTGTTGAAAATCTGGAAATCTTACATCTGTCTTCAAGGCACAGCCCAGAGCTTAAAGTTCTGTAATTTTTCCAGCTTTGGGGATTTTACCACTAGTCTTGAAATATTTAGTGTTCTTCTAAAGGCCTAGGGTTGTACACTTATACGACAAGCTTAGCTTTCATAAAAAAAACACCCAACAATTTTAGACATCATGATTTCAGAGGAAAAACTGAAAGCAGAAACTCTAGAGAAACAGAATGCAAATACACCTCTCATATCTATTAAAAAAATAAAACAAACCTCAAGCCACTCTAATTTTGGGGAAACAAGAATGAGAGGGGGTAGCAATACTACCACTGGCCTTTTTCAATTGATTCACCTTTCTTCCCCACCTAATCTTAAAAAAACCCCACATTTCAATTATAAAACCTACAACCATGTAATACATTCAGTCTTGACCGGTTAGCTTAAGTCCTCAACAAAATACGTGCTTGTATTTAACTATTTCCATTTCCAAAGGACAGACATACATGGGTATATATTTGCTTACAGCTGGATTTGTCTGCTTGTAGACTTAAAAGTCATTAAGCTAGTCTTTGCTCTAGTTCTGCAGGAGATACATGAAGACAGCACATGAAACCTGGAGATGCAGGTGATCAGTAGCCCCATACACCACGGCCAGGCACCATCTGAGTGTCAGTTGTTTATTCAAGCAAATTTAACAGCCTCAGAGTAGAGGAGAACTGTCATCTGGGGCTGCGCAGACACTGCACCCTACCTGCATCTCGTCCACCTCGCCTGAGGAGAGACACCTGCCTGGACGCACGTCTGAGTGCCCGAGCGATGCAGGAGCTCTCTCAGCACGAGGACGAACAGAACTTCAAACCCCCAAATTTAATTCTGTCTCTCTCTTTCTGACTCATTTTAACTATCAGACAGGAAGCTCTCAGTTGCTGAACCCATTGGCGAGTTTGACGAGATCCTTCTTACTCTTATTTGCCTTAGCTCGCTTTTGAAATGTTTCTCTCTGGTACAATTGCAAACGTGCACATTCAATTCAAAAATAACCACAGCACCCAAAATACAGCTATGAGACTGGATGCGTCTGAGTTCAAAGGTACCAGAACAACTTCTAACCCTTATTAACACTCTGTGAAATCTGTGGGTTTACTCTGCGGGTGTAAAATTAGAGTCGAGCCTTCCTCACCACACGTGTTTGATTGTGTAGGTGCCTGATAGTTACAGTATTACAGCTAAATCTGAACTGGATGCAACAGGACTATTTCTGTGAGCAGGTTTTGGCCTTTGATGTTAGTCAAACAAAACACTTTAAAAATATTCATAATACATTTTCCAGGCAAAATAAGAAAAAAAAATTCCAATCAGATAATCTCTTTGAGGTGTTTCATATTAACCTTGAAAGGCAGGAAATTGGCATATTTTATATTGATGGGAGCAGCTCAGGAAATACAAAGTGAAGCCTATGAATAATGAAACATGTTAATGTTTCTTATTCTAAAGGGTGATCTGCACCTGACAGATTGCTTTTACTCGCTCAATGTTAACAGTGCCACAAAAAAAAAAAAAAAAAGATTAACAGGATAGTATTTTTCCCCATCGTATTACAGAAGACCTTAACACAAGGCTGCATTTTAAGTGCAAAAGGCAGACCCCTAAATTTACACAGATTTTGGATCAGTGTTTTAATGTATTTCTGTAACATACAGAATAGCAGTGATGAAAAGTGAAGAAGAATCACAGCATTCCAGAGATGCGATAGCATAATTTAAGGAGATCATTTCACAGAAATTCTAAAAAAGGAAAGAGTCAACAGCAGATACAGTCTTCCTTGAGCTCTTCTCTATATAAAACCATGCTAATTTACACTAGTGCAAATGAGAGAAGTAGGGAGACTAATAAGTTGATTTAAAAAAATGGAAGGAAACTGGCTGCTCATTAAAATAATAAAAAACAGATCCAGGACTGTAACTTTAGTCACTTACTCAAATCATTTCACAATGCTGTTGTATGAAATAAGGAATAAATGTCACAAGACAAGACCTTCTATATTTGGGATGCTTTTAGAGAAATAATTCATAAAGATTAACCTTAGTATCATAGAACATCATGAAAATAGGAAAACTGAGAAAATAATTTTACTATTAATTAAAAAAGGAAATAAAAAAGGAAATTCTGAAAGGTCAGTTTTCAATATGACTTCAGTTTTTCTCTCAGGTTAAAGGAAACCCTATGTCTATACACAGAACCTGTGTTTTATCTCTGATTACTGAATGCAATTATTCTGGATATCTTGACTTGCAACAGATGAGGGTTTGTCTCTCAGAAAAGGTAATAGTATTTGTATTTCTAATGAAAATGTGATTTTTTTTTTTCTAAAGCCATAAAGCTTATAATTTAAAGGTCACATCCAAAGTTTTGGTTTAGCTTTTCTGAACATAGAATGAAAGAAACAAAAGCTGAATAAGAGAAAATATGTTCATGGCTTTTGTCAAATCGCAGTGAACAGTTTTCATTCTCAATTTCTTTTCTATGGAGTTTCCACCTAAATGATCCTTTCCTTAGCAGACAAGTAAATCAACAAAGTAAAAATTATTCTGTCTGTGTGTATTTAGTTTCACTACCTAAGCCAAGGTGCATGCAGAAAGTAAAATAATAGCAAGAGATAGGAATAAAATTGAACATAAAGGCACTAATTATTTTAAGAAAAGGAACAAACCTGGAAAAAAGCTTCTTTTCTTTTTAATCTGATAGTGACTCTTTAAAATCTTGTTTAATAGTATGAAGAGGTAAAATAAATAGATAAGTAAAGAAATATGTAAAAATATGAAGTTCAGTGAGCATGTAGCACTTTTCGTTCAGGGATTTTTACATTTCAAAAGCTAGAGTTATATGGAAGTAGATGACAACAACCCATCACCAAAAGATGAAAAAAATCCAGGCACTTACTTGGTGACAGGGGCTTGGGCCATTTACCTCTTCTGAACTGGTTGTCCCTCCATCACCCTTGACTGACTAAAATAACAAAGGATTATAGGACTTCTAACTGGGTTCCTGTTTGAGGCATTAATTCAACACGAAAACACACATGAATCAAAAAATGCAAGGTTTGATTTAAGCATATTCTTTACAACGCTAAACCAGAATCAGACATTTCAGAAACTCTACCAACATTTTTGAAATACCCACATCTCCAAGGTAGATTTTTGCTAGTTCTTTCCTATGTGAAGTGATTGTCTCTTGCAAGTCAATTTTCCCATTAAGGCCTGAGAAATATGAATGAGGTCTCAGTGGACCAGAGATCATATCAGCCCTGCCACTGTAGTTTTCTAGGAAAGAGCTTTTGTTTGCTTTTCAGAGGCAAATCTATCTTATAAGATCTAGTGGGACTTCCTTTCTATTTAACAATCATACTAAGCTTGCATACCCTGTGAATAATTAAAACCCACTCAGCTTTATAGATATATTTCTGTATTTTATCATCAGCATCCATTTTTCCTTTCCAGTTTATGCCTTCTCTCTCTATATATATCTAAGTAATGGCCCTTCTTGGTGCCCACTCTTCCCAGCCCAGACAACCAGAGCAGACCCTGAGGCTGTACCACTGGCAGGTCATTCAGAGCAAACCTTGACTTGGAAATATGTTTTTAAGATACAATCCCCCGTTTCTATCTAGATTTAAAAAAGAGAAAAAGCTGTTTGACAAAACTAGCTCAACAAGTAAATTGTGACAAATCTTGTAATATTAGATTAAGGTTTAGTTACAATTACTAATATAAAAGAAATGAAAGGCATAATATATATATGTTTAATTAAAAAGTGTGTTGGAGGGTTCAACGTGGCATTCTCTTGAGTACCATATAAGCCACAGAGCTTAGCAGTAAGGCATAAAATAAACTCCGGAATTTCAAAGTGCCCAAATTTAAATGTCATTTTTCATTGCATAAGTTCAATGAAAACAATGAAAGGATGTGACTTCTGTTCTAAAGATAGATCAGGCGGATTTGTGGTTTTCTGCAGCTTGTAGATTTGTTACTTGAAGCACAACAGTATCAGCTTGATCCTATGTATGGTGTTATTGCAAGGACCTATTTCAGTCTCTGATTTTCCTATAAAACTACAGAAAATCACTATGTAGCAACAGCATGATAGAAAACTACACCACTCCATGACAATTTATTACTTGTCACAAATTGTGGGAAAAATTCTCTTTCTGGAACATGCTGCTGTGCACTTTCTTGCATGTTTATGCTCGTGACTCTTTATCTGCGTAAGAGACTGCAGAAATGGAGGGGAGGAAGCACAGTGTGGTCTGTCTTAACATTACAGGATAGAAACTCAGTCCAGAGTGTATGAAGACATATTGTGATAAGATCTGGTTTGCATTTCTATTTCAGTAGGTCTTTAAATACCTTCAGGAAAAAAAAAAACAGTTTATGCTATAACAGCAACTTCTTTGTTACCTTTTTTCCTAAAAAAAAATCCAAACCAAAACAAAACAGAAAAAAAGAAAAAACCCTGCTTTAGCCAACCTTTAGTAATCCATCTTTTTTTTTTATCAGAACATAAATAACAGAGTAAAGACCTTGAGGTCTTTGCCTAGACAAAGTTCTCTCTGGCCTTCAGTGAAACGTATATGTAACAATCACAAGGATTTCTCTCTAGAGCACTGCTGACCTTTCATCCTTGCCTTTGGTCATTTAGGATTGCTGCTGCTGAAAGCTTCCTGAAAGGGTTTTCTGCTTTCTAGGGCAATAAGAGTAGATCAGTGTATCTTTAAATGGAGGAGGGTGGGGACAGGCAATAGACTTGCTACATTTTCATGAATAATGAAGGAAAATTAAGTTGGGACAACATAAAGTACTTATTCTTGATTCCAAATGCTATTTATTATGTAAAAGTTTATTTACGTGGGGAAGTAGGCCAGCACAGACACCGCAGACAATTTGGAAACAATATTTTTTGTTATTCCAGAAAAATATATTCTTCTTGGTAGCAACTTCATTAATCCAGAAATAGGATATTTTATTTGCAGAGACCATACTCAACATTATCTCAAACCAACCATGCTTCAAGTCAACTTCCCGGCTGAAGACAAAGTCTACAGCCTCAGTTTACAGTTGGTAATTCTGCTTGTTCCTATTTGAAAATGCCATTTTACACCCTTATCTCCACAAAATACCTCAAAACAGACATTTTGAAAGGATTTATCTTACCTAGCTTTGCTTCTGTTTATATTCTGTGGAGAACAGCAGGAGCTTTTAGGGCCTCACATCATCTGATATGTCTTGGATCCTAAGGGGCTCTCAGACCTGCTCACCTCTAACCAGTGCCTTTAAAGGGAACCTGGGGTGAATAGCTCAGGTGTAGCCATTTCTATCAAAACATCTGCATTAGGTCTGATGTATCCTACCCTGTAAATAAGATAGCTATTTGATTTTCATTGATAAGGTGTGACTTTCAACTGGCAACACAGGATTTCACATTCATGTAGGTGTGGCTTAGTTAGATAAAAGAGCAGTGGTATTTCTTCATCTCTTATTGAAGCACAGGGCTTTAAACTAATACTTTATATCTTTCTATAATTTCCCAATAGTTTTTGTAGCATTAGTTAACCGTCTCCCATTTTAACCACAGCAATGGCTTTTGCGACCTTTGCAATTGCAAACAGACCACAAAGAAGGGATGCCTGTACTGAGCAAGTCAGCAGGCAGACTTCAAGATACACACTGCCTTTTCCAAAGTAAATTACTCCTAGTTCTCGCAATGGCTATCCTTGTGTCAATAGTGGCAACTATAGTGCTGTGGATCTAAATGTCTACTTGCTATTGGCCTGTGCTCATGCTCTCTGAGCAGAATATGTCAAAACCGAGGCACATGGAGAATAAGTGACTTGCCTGTCTGAGGCTCACAATAGACTAAGTAGAAGTAAACTTAATTTCTGAGTCCCAGTCTTGAATCCTAAGAAGATAAGCTGCCTTTTCTTAAGAACCTGAGTGGTTGACCTGTGTAACGTAACTGTGGATGTTATCAGAATACCCTTGGGGTCATCTTCCGCAGGTGGAAGAGAAACCCAGTAAACAATCATATTAATGTAAAATTAAAAGTCAATCTCTTTCAGCAGCCAGAGCAATAATCCATCTATTGCCAGAATGGAGACTAAACAACAAAGTATATCAGTAAACAGGAGTCTGGGTTTTATCAAAGAAGTCCTGCCACATTCCTTCTCACCAACAAGCACGGGTTTGTTTCAGAGACTGTAAGTACCTGTACTTGTTAAGATCCTATCTTACAAAAATTCACGGCTGCTCCATCTGCAACAAGGCAGGAGGAGTTCTCCAAGAGGACCTGCTGGATGAGTCAGTGACCTGCATCACATGGATGGCACGGTTTGTACAGGCTCTGATGCCACTTCAAGGCATTTCCAACACCTCCAGGAGCCTCCTGCCCCAGTGTCACCTCTGGGAGGTGGAACACCACAAGGTACATCTAGGCATTAGCCAAGGTTTGTCCAGATTCGCAAGTGGAAGAGGTTGAACCGATGCAACCACATGAAGAAATCATTTTATCTCCAGTGCTTCAGGTAAGAGGTGCTAAGGACTAAGTTCCTCACACAGGTAGACAGCACAAGGGGATGGTCCGATATAAGGCCCTTTGCTGTGCTCCTCAAACATACATGCACGCTGTGGCCAGGGCTGCAGTGTAAACTCTCGTATGTCTGAGTTAGTTTTAAATCAACTAGCATTAGTGTGAACAGCAGACTAATGACATTAGCGTGAGGACTGGGGAGGCTGCAAATGGCAGCCCCCCAAAATGTGCAAATTACTCTTCTCTGAGCTCTACAGTGCCAGAATTCTGCTGCTACCAGCAGATGCCAGCTAGCTATTGTAAAGCTGGCTTGGGAATTCCTCTACTTTATGGCTGTTGCTGTAGGGTAGCCGGACCTCCAGAGAAAACTACAGTGGAAATGGACCTTCCTTATAGTGGAAATTATACCTTCCAGCACACAGTCTGCCAGTATAGATATTCTGAGCAAAAGAACCCTATTGGACATCTCTACAGTACTTGCTCAGCTCTCAGCCCCACAGCACTGGAGTTTCTGCCCCTTTTCCTTGTGAGAAAATCAAGCCTGTGTTGGTCTTAAACATTTCATGCACTTTCAGCACTCACCACTAGTTCAAAAGCTTTACAGAAGCTAGTTGTTCAGTAGTGGCTTAAAATCCTTCTGTCTACCTTAGGAATCAGAAATACTGATTGACCTGATGGCATGAAGCTGTAGGGCAGCTATATAGCTCCAATTGTGCGCGACAGCGTCACAGCGATCCAGTAGTCCAAAAGTTATTCAGAGGAAACAGCCTGGGGCGTACTTCAGGGATAATAAATATATTAAAATAATCCACTATCTGTTTGGAAATTGATAGCCAAAAGTAGAGCAGATGAACACTAAAGGTTTCAAAAAGCTGCAAAACCAGTTACACAGTTAATACAATTCAGTTTCCCATGTGGGTAGGTGTTTGCCTACATACTAGTTCTGTCTTTCTATGCCAAAATCTGGATTAAACTCCTGCTCTGATTAGAGCAGCATTACATCTACTGCTTTTAATACAGCTCTGTTTTCTTCCATGATGACTAAGATGGGTGTGGAACAGCTTTATTTTTTAATTGGTGGTATTTTTTTTGGTAGGGTGACATGATTTGAAGTTACAGTTACCACAGACGTCAATGTTTGATATGCATTGGTCCCAAGTCACCTTCTGCATGTCTAGCATCTCCCATAGTAACAAGCCTCTATGCAGGATGACCGCAAGTCCCCTTGGATTTAGGAATAAGGTTCAGATTTTTCCAAACGGACTAGTTTTGTAAAATCTTATGTGGAATTAAAAGCATGTTGGGTGCACAATTCTTGGCTGATAGTAGGAATTCTAGCTTGGATCCTCAAATACACCAGAGTGGCTATGTAGTAAAGTAACTCTGAAGAAAAAAAAAAAGTAAATTCACCCATCATGGGTTGGGCTAAGGCTAACAAACAGCTGAAAGTAAAAGAAACACCAATCTTTTAGAGACAAAAAATAAATCAGGATTTGGGTTGTTGCATGTACCTTCCTTGGTCTGACTCACGAACTTTAACCTTTGACAACGTGACTGTTCACAGTTGTATGTACCAGCACATACCTGTGAGCAGACAACCTGGGCTGTTTATTACATCGGGTTATAAGAAACTACATTTTTCACATTCTAATGTATAAACTACTCTGACACCCACCCGTAGCTGTCTGAAAATAAACCAGCATGATTAAAAATAGAAATCTTCCATACGCATTTGTAAACCTTGCCAAAATAGATCAATTGCTATATAAATCCTCAAAGGCCTGCTACAATTTTAATCAGAGAAGCGTTCTAGACTTGGATTATTTTCTTTCTTGGCCACTTTTCTAGACTCTGTTGAGGAATACTGTCTGGCTGTCATTTGTACACAAATCAGCAGGATTGCTTCATACCTATAACCACGAGCCGATACCAGCCACGTTATCGCCTCAGCGGTTTCCTTCTTCCCTCCAGTCTCCTTCTGGGAAGGAGGATTAGATTCTACTTTGTGCCTTTCTTTTTCCCACCTAACGCATAACATCTTTAAAGCAGCTATTGTATCCTTTCACATGCCGGTTCAGCTAACCTACATAAGCTGCCAAAAAAAAAAATTTCACTACTAAAAACAGGCCTCCCCGAAGCAAGCATGGGCCTTGACAACGGTGGGCTAATACCAGATAGTCTCGCATCGCCCAGTGGAAGTTGCCTCCGTGGCAACCCCGAATTCTGTCTCAAACCCCTGGAACTGCCCTGTTTCCCCCCCCCCGGCGGGGGACAAAGGGTCCCGGCGGAGCATGGAAGCCGCAGCAGCCCCCGGGCGCTTCCCGGGCGCTTCCCGGGCGCTTCCCGGGCGCTTCCCGGGCGCGGCCGCCAGAGGGAGATGCAGAACGCGAAATGCGGACGGGGGAGGGTGGGCAGCGCTGGGGACAAGGGGACAAGGTCACACACCCACCTCTGGAAACGGGCATAGCTTCGCTCCTGTTCTCTTACAGACATTGATTTTTTTCCAAAGGTTTTTTTCAAGAATTCCCACCCCCAGCCTTGCACTGAACACATCGCTCTCAACTCGTGAAACTGAGGGTCTTGCTTACCAGTTTAAAAAACTTCCTCAGGTTTGCTTTGGGGGTTTTACTCTCTTCTCTTCTAGGTTTCACTTCTGCAGCTTCTGGGCTCTTACTCTCACCTTTGTCAGGAGCCCCTGCTTCTAAAGATGCGTCCGCTTTTTCATTGCTTACGATCTCTGCTTCTTCTGATGCGTTCTGGGGTTATTTTGGGTAAATATTAAGAAAGCGGGGAAAACAAACTTAATAAGTGAGGTTTGGTTTTTTGTTTGTTTTTAAAGAGGTTACAATCAAAGTGTTTCAGCAGTGCTGTAAGATGGTACATCAAGAACTAATGTGGCATGAAAGCATTCTCAGCTTCACTATATCTGTACAGGTTTCTTCAGGAATTTGATTCATCCCAATTCAAAAAAGTATATAAGGTGGTGGGATTTTAAGCACTTGTTTACATTGAAGAAATAGCCTTTCTTGAATTGCAGTACCAGTTCCCAAACAATAATTTAACTTTGATTACAATTTTAAAAGGAAATTCAAATGAAATTACATACAGTAATATGTGCCCCAAGTAGACGACACTCAGGTAAAACCAGTAAAAATAAGAAAGATCATACCCAAGAGTTTGCACACAAAAGCAGGAATAGGATTAATTAAAACACACTGTGGATATTATTAGTTGTTAAAACTCTAGCACCCTTCTTAGTGAAATACAAAAGTGTAACATCGCAGGCACAGTGTTCTCAGGCTCGGTCACATTTGCAACACTAGCTCCTTTTCCCAGCTGTGAAGATATAAATGACTTCCTGAGGTACAAGGTAGTTAAGTAGCTCATCTATTACTTCACCCAATCCCACAGGTCACAGTCACCCTCTTTGATAGCGTTGACCCTCATTTGAGTTCAAGAAAAGCTGCTGGGTACTCAGCAATGTTGCCTCTATAGAAGGATTTTGGGTCCCACTGAGCTTTTGTGAATTACTGGAAAGTTCCTCCTGTTATAACAGTACTTCAACCAGAGGCATGCGGTTGGTAAATTCCTCTGAAATATGGATCCCCATAAGATTTATTGGTTAATCTCCTGCATGTCTCATTCCACGGCCTTCTCAAGGCTATCCTGGGAATGCTCAATGTGTTTAACTGAACAAGACTCGTGCAGAGCAGAATACGTGAGCAGGAGGCACATTTCTGCTGTAGGAGGTGGAGGCACAGCTGGGCAGGAGACTGAACATGCATTTCCTTAGCTGACTACTCTGCCTTCTATAAATGCTCTGGTAAATAACATTCTTCTGTGCCCTCAAGAACCACTAATTAATTCCCATCTCACTGTAACTGTGTAAAGAAGATTTTTCCCTTCTACCATAAAAAGAAGCTATTATGCTAATAACCAGGTAATGTGACCTGGAGCAAGGCCTTGATCATTTTGCAGCCTATTGCAGAAAGGTGCAGAACATTATAAAAGCAGGATAAGGTATACCCTCAGTAGTGTAACTTCAATATTGAATCAAACAGAAGCAGTTACCCTAGGTATTGGCATTTCAACACATGCTGCTGCTTAAAAATACAGCACAGTTAGAGCTGAAGTGTCTTACTACCGTTACCATAGGAAACAACTGCTGTAAATAAATCTCGGAATGATATTTCACAGTTTGTACATGTACTTACAAGAACACACATGTAATTTATACTCACAGTCATTTTGACCAAATTAATTTTAGCCACATGAACATGAAAACAATTTAAAAGATAATACCAAAGACTCACCCCAGCCCCAGATCCTGACTCTGGGAGCGGTGAAAAATGGCTGCCTCCTCCAGCAGCAGCTTACAGTACTACTGTCCTTGTCTACTTTTCCAACTGTCTTCAACTTGGTGATTCCCAAGTAGTATCTTTGTTTTAATAGCCTTTGATGGATTTTTTCCTACAGAAATTTAGCTGAACATTTTCTGAGTAAATATAAATTTCTGACATCCAGCAGCATCCTGTGGCAAAGGATTCTACACCTTAAGTATGCTTTTTTTTAAAGCACTTCATTTTTGTTTGTTACCAAATAAAATGATCTGATAATCTACCGCTTTTATTTTGAGCAATGACTGCTCTTTCCTGTTCACCTTTTATGTTACAGCAGTCATTCTGTATGCTGCTGTCATCTTCCTTTCTGCCAACTCCTTTCTGAGCCAAAAAAAAAAAATCCTAATTTATGTAGTTCTTCATACAGAAGCCATTCAATATATTTATGCATTTTTCTGTCAGTATTATACCTTTTAGTTCTATCATATTCTTTTTGAGTTGAAGGGGACCCCACATGCAAGATGAGGACACACCATGGAGTTCTACAGCAGCATGAGAGATTTTGCTTTGTTCTTTACTCCTCTTTTGTGGAAGAAACAAATGTTTTTGGGATGGGGTAGGGCGAAGGAGAAGAATGATGAGAGAATGAATATTCCTTGTCCCCTGCTGCCTGAGATGACTGCAGCACAGCCCGCTTCCCCATAGAATTGTAGATTTAATTTATATTTATGAACATTTTTGAGATAATCAATCTATAATAATTTTCATCTATATTTCTGCCTATTCACACATACATCTAATCAATTCACCATCTATTTGCTTGAAGGAAATGATTCATTGCAGGAGTTGAAACAGTGGCTCAATAAAGCAGCAACCTAGCTTCTGGGAGCTCATCATTCAAAGATTACAGTTTGGGATCATATTACTGCTACGCTGCTACAGCTGCAACCCAAATGAGTTTTGTCTCTCAAGCTATGCCTATGCAAAGGCGTTAGTGTCACTACCGATAACAAATGCATCCTGGGGTGAAATGCCTAAACTCTGAAAAGCACTGTCTATTTAAATAAAGAAAAGAGCTAAGTGATAGTCAACTATTCAGAGAGATGGATTTGTTTAAAGTAATCAGTGACTTTTTGTACATTTCTTGATGGAAGCCATAGGAGGCTTTAAGAAAGTTTAAATCCTGTTTTAGAATAGCTTACTTTTACTTTTTTTTTAAACTTAGATATCTAATCTACATATTAGGCATAAAATTGTTGCAGAAGTTACAGGTAATCTTGTTTGAGATCTTAAGCCTGCTATTAAAAGTTTTATGATAAATTTCTTGTAATCATCTCCAAGAATCCTTCTTGTATACCCATCTCCCTCTGTAAGACTGAAGTAACTAATGCTGAATATTCTTTTACGATTTTGTAATCTCAAAGATATCTCTGGAGACCTAGTCCAACCTCCTGCTCAGAGTTGCTGAGGAACTTGTCAAGTTGAGCTTTTAGTATCTCCAGGGCTGGAGTTCCACAACTTCTGTGCAATCAGATCAGGGTATTTAGATACACTGGGACAAAAGCAAACTCTAGAGACATCACAAAATCTTCTTCTCAAACAAGACCGACCAAGGTGGCAGATTCTTGGAGACTGATGACACATGACCATGATATATTGCATACTTCAGAGAGGCAGAGGATGCCTATGCATAGTCTCACAGTAGATGGGAAAACCCCTTGCAGCAAAGAAGGTTTTCTGACATACTTTTAAGAACAGTTTTTCATTTTTGTTCCTGTTTCCCCTAAGAAGCTAGAAGAAAAATTTCCATTTGTGCATTCAAGAGAATCACCAAGGTGTTTCTGGCAGGAATTGAAAGTGTAATAGGAAGAGCCTGACAAAGATGAAATCAATGAACTTTGAATGATGTTACATTAACCTAAACTGTTCTCTAGAGCAACGGGTTCAGTTTCTTTACTTCACCTGGGGGAAAACCAAAAGTTATATCAAGTTTTGTGGCTAGTTTTGGGAAGAAACTGCAATTTGTATAGAAGAATAATTTGCAAACAGCCCAGCTCTATGAGCTTCATGATGCTTTGATGCATAAATGCTCTCATAGAAGTTCTCTCCTTATACCTATAAATTGCAGCAACTGAGGTTGCTGGATTCATGGGTCCAAATTCTGCCTCTGGTTTCCTTAGACACAAATCGTAATAAATTCAACCTAAGTCAGCAGCTATTTTTGTTATGCACCACAGAGACAGAAGTGCTGTTGGGTTATTTATTTTTCTTTTTTTAAAGGCACTCTGCCAAGCTTAGAAAACATTTCAAGATACACTTATTTGAAGTAAGATGAGCACCATCCTTTGTTCTTCCTATTACAGAACTACCTTTGTTTTCTTTTTCAAAATAATATTTTATCTTCGCAAGTTGTGTTTTATAAGAGTATTTTACTAGACTCTTTATTTCACTATGTTTGGGAAGCATTCTTCCACCTCTTAAATGACCCTGTCCCTAATTCTGTTTTAGTAATAAGCTTACTTAAACCAATTGTGGTGGGAAGTTTGTGTCTGCTCATTGAGCCATCTTCTGGTTCTTACAAACCCTCCTATTGTTTTGGGGAACTGTTACTACACCGTTTTCTTATCTAGGTTCGCGACCATACAAATTGTTGCCTTATGAGAATCTAACTTATTCTGTGACCTGGGTAACTTTGATAGGAGTTTTCCTTTTGCTTTCTCAAAATTGAGGTAAACACCGTACCCTGCTTTGATCTTGTGCTAGAGTCTGAACTGGCACTCTCCACTGCATTTCATTAGACTCAAGGAACAGGTTTTCTGTTTTTCCTGGGTCATACCTTCTTTATGAAGCAGCTTTTCTTTTATCTTAACAATACATATGAAAGATGACCTTTTGCTCAAGAAATTTCCACTTAAAAGCAGTCATGCTTGAGATCTGTTCCTGCCGCTCACTCGCAGGCTCACGGGTGGGAAGCAGGGAGGATTAGAGAGACTTTAATCCACCTTCCTGCCCTCCTTTGCCAACGCAAAGACGACAGAGGTTGCTGCAGTTAAGGTAGCTCAGCTTTAGCCACCAACATGCTCTCGGACCTCCACCTCGAAGACCCCCGTGACCTGCAGCTGCTGCCTGAAGGCGCCGCTCAGCAGATCTTGAGCTATAACAGCTCAGACTATTAACCAATTAGTACTAACCACCGTCAGCTTATGGTTAAACCACACTGGGCTGTAAACAGGCCAGGAGTGTGGTTCTGACTCACAAGTCCTATTGGTTTTATTTGCTGGGTTGAGGAGATAAAGGCCCCTCTCTGCTGTAGGGACAGCAGCTATACCAGTAGTCAGGTTGTGAAATGGCCCCCAAAAGCCCATCGCTTATTGCCCTCCTCACTCCCTCAGGCAGCGGCAATTCTTTTTCCAGTTCCTTCATCCATTTACCCAGCAAAAAAAGGCCAGAATCTCCTTCTCTCCTGCCTGATAGGTGGTATATTCCAGGATGGGAGCAGGTAAACTACTGCAGGAACTCAGTAAGTCCTGGGTAACTTTATCTCATACACTCCACCCAAATATTTACCTTTGCTTTCCTATGGCAGAGTATGGTTGCAGGCTCAGCAATAAAAGGTGTTATTCTGCTTCACTTAATATGTAACCAGTTTGCTGTCTGTATTATAGTGCATAATTACACCTCGTAAAAAGGGCACTATTTTTCTGCGTTTGTATGGCAACCGAATTGCAACAGCTTAAAATTCTAGTTTTTAAAAAGTATATCTGCTTTTAAAGATAATTCACAGAGCAGTCTAAATAGTCCCTCAATAACTTTCCTCCATCACTTACTGGCATGCTTTAGTCAGATATAAGTGAAGCATCATGTTTCTCTGCCCTGATCAGAGATCTACAAGGTCTTGAAACCAGGTTTCCAACACAAATATGTGAAATTACTAACTGTAATTTTCTATTACTATTCCCTAGTATTTGCAAAAAAACCCCAAACAAACAAACAAAAAACCACGCTAGCATGACAAACATTTGAGTAACAGTTATGAAAATCCTTCTGCAGACTGATCAGGAAATGGGGCAAATACAGTCAAAGTGGTTTCTATCTGAGAACTTGAATAAGGATTTTTTTTTTCTTTTTCTTTTACATATTTATTCATCTATAGTCAGAGCAGCAGCATTAACTGCAATGTGTTGACAGGCACTTCATTAGCTTTACTTTGAAGTGAAAGCTCATCGGAAGATAGATATTTAAGAGACTGCCTGGAAAGAGAGAAGCTAGATCTGAATCCTGGATCTATTGAGTGTTGTGGTTGCTATTTGTTAGTTCAAAAGAAAAACTACACATGACTCTGAATTACACACCTGTTTGGAACAGTTGCTAGCTTCGATTCTCTATCCTAGCAAAAGGACAGTACATTAAGTGTGCCAGAAAGATAAAATCACTGCAGAAAAAAAAGACAGAATCTTCAAACCAAGCTGAGTTTGAGGCTAACCTGTAGTCTAAGGAGTTTTTTTTTTTTTTACATCTATCCTCATTTTTTTTTAGCTTCAAGCTGACTGGGTCACCAGGGTCTTTCATCAAAGGAAATATAATATTCTCTGTCAAGAAAATCCAGTAAAGCAACATCAGCCTTTTATAGGTAAGGATTCAATGCTGAAGCATGCAGGGTTTGTTTTTTTTTTAAATTCTTAGGACCAAATTTAGTCCTCTGCTGCAGAAATTTACTCCAGAAAACCTGCAAAAACATTTGGTCTCAGCACAATTCCAGACCCAAGAAGATCTAAATAAGCAGAAATGGGCTCATATTACAAAGTTCAGATTTCACACACTATTGTAGTTCAGTGTATTTGCATAAATGATTTAACTAGCCCTTAAGATTTTCTGTAGGAACCAAAACCTGCTCAGAGTTGTAGGAAGTTCTCTACAGCACTTTCCATTCACTGACATAAGCAGCTAATGATGATGTAGAATAAGTTAAACCCAGCATTATGAACAGAAGTAAAAGACAATTTTGGTAAAAGATTTACACCCCTGAGATGTTTGAGAACCCAGGACTTCACATGAAAATTATTGTAAGGTTAAAGAAACACAGGGTATGTACCTAGACCTAGTTAAGTCTAGCTATGAGATATGGGGACCTGGTGTTCACTGGGGGCAGAACCTACATTATGCAAGCAGTAAAATATCTATAACTACATTAGTTTGGGTTAATCTTTCAAAACAAGGTTTTGAAGTCTTACCAAAACCTTATCAGATTTTTTTTAAACCAACCATCACCACCAGTTTCTCCTCCACAGAAGTGATTTCCACTATTTTTCCGTGAGAAAATGTTCCTTTCTTACATGCTTTTTCCTTTTCAAACACAAAAGACCTTGTTACTTCATTATGAAATTACTGAACTTAAGATTTATTACTCAGTTTTACACTGAAACTGCATACGACCATCTGCTAGGCGGCCTTTTTTTCTTATTTCATCTTCATGTTCGGCATACATCTTGCTTCCCATCTCTGTTTTCAAATAAGCCAGACTACTCAGAGAAGGTTTCTGTAGCAGTAATAACTATATAAAAAAACCTCCCTCTCCCTCTTCTTCACAACTTTCCTCTCATTCTAAGTACCTGATTTGCCCAGTTCCACAGGAAATTAAGTCCCAAGTAACAAGCTTGTTTCAAGCTTAGATTGTTTTCAAGCATGTTTACTCTGTAAATATCTAACCACCTTTTTTTTGGTGTAGGTAACATACCCAAACTCTATCTCCAGTATCACTGCCCAGTAGGGAAAATACAGCTAAAGAAGCTGCAGGGCTAGCTGCTCAGGCAGCATCTGTGTGTTTGGAAGCAGTTAATTTCTGGGATTTGAACTTGAACAGAAGCCCAGGAAAGCAGTTATTCAACATACAGTGATTCAGTAAAGTTTAATAGAGCTCTTCTCTTAAACAGAATGAGAAAAGAATAAACCTTCAGCTTATAAACCATAAGGACCGTGGAAAAAGGAACCATGTTTTCAAAGTTAGTCCTAATTTTAGTTAAAACCATTATTTAACAAAGGAAAAATGTGTCTTCCCAAGCAATCGACCTCAATCCCCAAACTTAATGACTGATCCACTCTGGTATGCAACTTTTTCTATTGAGTAAGAATAGACCCACCAGATTCCAGGTTTTCAGACATTTAGAACTAAAGCAAACAGTTCTCATAAAAACAAAATTTTTTTTATAGCTATGTCTCTATTAATGATATAATTTCATAAAGAATGCTATAATCTCTGTGGGATCTTTAACAAATGCATTGAATTGACAGACAATAATATTCCTTCTTCCATAATATCACTTAAATACTACAGACAAGTTTAAAAGACTATGTTCTGTAAGATTCTTCTGCAGGAGTCTAACTGCCATTATTAGCCACGTGCATACGTGACTGCCCAAAGCTCACGTATGCATTTGTACGTGTGGGTATATCCTTCATGCTCCTTGTGCATTTAGCACGTGGGATATGCTCAACTTTGGAGATTTAACTGCTTTACTGTAACTCTATGCTTAGCAATAACTTTAGATGCTGTGTGAAAATGGAGCTGTGGGATGGGCCAGCTCCGAAATCCAGACATACCTTTTTCCAAAAGAGCTTGCTCAGTGGCATAGGAGTGGATGATGCTTTCTCCTTCGTCACCTCTTTGGGGGCTTCACTGGCCACTGCCTGCTGTTGGGCTGCAGGCTCGGGGACTTTCGTATTCTGCTTAGTTGTCTGTGACTCTTGAGAGGAAGGGACATTTTTGTCTGATTTTACAGAGGTAACAGGCTGCTGTTCAGTGCTCTAGGAAGAAACACGAACACATAAGGCTATTGAAAACTTGTGAAGGACGAGATACTCGCCGCACGTTCAGGCATCCCCTGGAACAAGAGGTAAGCGCACAGCGGACCACCGCTGCCCAGGACACGCAAGGTGCAGCGTATGAGTTGCACGCCTGTCCTTTCAAATGAAGTAACGTCTTGAATAGAGGAAGCAAATTACATAGCAACCCACCCTTCATAACAGAGATGATTAATTGATAAAGAAATTAAACCACTCTTTGAGACTGAAAGTGACAGCAAGAATAATTACCCTTTGACTGCATTATTCATACAGATAACTTGAATCATCCTACTCACTTTGGTATTAGTTGTCTGTTGGGTCTCTTTTGCAGCCTGAAGGGAAACAAAACACAAAGACAAGTCTGTCTCCGGCAATGTCAGCGCTCACAGTTACACAGTTCAGGAATTGTCTGTGTCACAAATTATTTTATTTTTAGTGAATGTTTGTGAAAGTCCTGGCTCCTGCAACCATGGAAACTGATCTCTGGCAGAGGCGAGGCTGCCTGAAGGGACTGCCAGCTCGCATCCTTCTACCTGCAGCAGCGTTGCAGCCTTGTGTTGAATTGCTTTGTGCTCATGCTGCTGTGCTTGCAGTCCTCAACTTGTTCTTTAAAAATATGTGTATTTACATATGCATTCCCAGTTTCTTCAGATAAGACATTACACAGGGTTTTAAGATATTAGCAGAGATTTTTCTGAGCTGGGTCTGCATGTGCACCTTCCAGTGCACACTTAGAAGCCAGAGCTGGGTCTTTTCCACTGGGCCAGTTGCATACCAGTCAGGGACGTGCTAAAATCACCTCCAAAGCAGGAAGCTTTGCTTTCTGGGATACAAAACGTAGGCAGATGACTGCCTGGAAATGAAGGGCACAGAACAGCAGAGGCTTTATAGCTTAGAAACAGGAGTTGCACCTCTACAAAGAGAAGCTCTGCAGGTGCTGGAGGTTGGTTTAGTCCATCCACTCACACTTCAGTGCATTAGGTGGGATTTACTCTTTTGTAAAAAAAAAAATAAATAAATAAATCATCACTCACAGTAATGGGTCTCCTGGTTTCATCAAAATACACAAAGCCAGGAGGGATCCAGTTTGTTAAACTCCTTCCTGGCCAGTAATATATACCAGTATCTATCGACCCTAACATCCAGCATAGCCTGCACTGAAGATGAGTATCTGAGCTGTACAGAAAGAGGAGCAGCAAGATACAAACTCAGGTAAATGTGAGCCCAGCCCCCCTGGGTTTAGGCAGCCCACCACAAGCTTTGTAGATTTCTTGAAAGAATAAGTGAGAGGTATTTTGCAGGAGCCAAGAACTTCTTTTTGTGGTTAGTTCTAATGAACAAGATCCAGAGCAAGTAGTAAGTAGTAGTGTAACGTCACAAGCTGGCTTCAGTACTAAAGCTGAAACTAAGAGATTAACCCTTCTCTTCCAAGTAAAAATTCCATAAATCAGTACAGTTATACTGCAAAACTGGCATGCAATGCAAGGCAAATACACATGAATAGGAATAAAAGGACAGACAGGGACCCAACTGTTAAATGCCATCCAAACTCAGTCTTTGAGGTCAAATGGCTAAATCACATTGCATCAGCCTATGTTATGGATTTATATTAACATGCATGTTGCTATTTGAGAACAACATTCACAAGGTGCCTTAAAGTTAGTATTCATGTAAACACAGGACACCAAAACCCAATGTTTCTGTTAAACTAATAGCCAATCTATTCTTAACTAAGGTACAGAGAAGTGAATTTTGGAAGACTTGCAGAGAAAGAACTTTCAGAGGAGACAGTGAAGTGCTTAAAATTAAATATGAATACATATATTAAAATGATAATTTCAAATAAAGGAATTCATTACCTATTCATCTAGTTGACACATCACACTAAGGACAGCATTTCAAATGAAATGAGATAAACCGAACTTTTTTTTTTTTTACTAGAGGTGATGACTTCAGGGTTTGCCTGTCACATCAGTGCTCCGATTTGAATTTCCACTTTCAATCAGCCTCACAAACTGTTGGCACCATTTTAATTCACCTCCTTTTTTCTTAATATGTCATAAGTGATACCTCAGTTATTGCTTCTGTATTTTGTATGTGGAAAGAAAGCTGTGAAAATAAACTTAGAAGCAAGAAAAAAACTATTTAAAAAATAATGACATTTTATAAGACATTTTATTGCTGTAAAAATTTAGTGCTGTTGTGTTTCTTCAAGATAACTGCTTACATTCCAGACCAAAAGTCTTTAAAATTCTATAAAAAAGCCTAATCAAAACCAATCATCTCTCCCAACAACTCATGGCAAGATTTTGAATTGTTAGAGAAGAGGCTTAGCACCTTAAAAAATGCTAGCTATGTTTTTTACCAGGAAGGCCTAATTCCTTACGAATAAGTAATTCATATTTTAGTTGTATTAAATATCAAAACTATTAGCTATCAAGGTAGTATATACTAGAAGAGATCTTAACTTTAAGCTGTTGGCAAAAACTGTAAACTTAAAGCCATTGGGAAGATTTATTATTCCTTCAGTAATATGCAGATGACAGTTTTATCTCAAAAATGAGATCGTGGAAAGAATGTTTTTGTTTTAAAAATATCCCTTTGCTTTGTGCCCTTGATTATAAAGCCCCCTACTCACCAGAAATTCCATGTGGGTGTTTTGAGTGATCATTAATATTTAATTACTTTCCTCCCCCAGTGGAAGGGTCTCTGCTTCTGCATTCTTTGGGCTAAAAAGCTAAAATTCTCTGCTGCCCTGCCACAGAACATCACGGCAGATTATCTTCAGAGAATGCAGTAATGCCCAAATATGGGCTTTGAGATGAAAAGTTGTCAGTGATTTTTTTTTTTTTAAGATAAAAGATAATCCCCTCTGAAACAACCATTTGCACAAAAAGTATGCATTTTGAACAACTTTAAAGTATCCTTGAAAACCAGACTTTTCCCCCTCCGAACTACACTTAGAATTCAATCAACAATTACTTCTTTTCTGTGTTCAGTAAAAAGTAACCTTTTCTGAAGGAAATTCCATGTTCCAACCTTCTCCGTGCCATATCAGATGACCCACTTCACCAAACCACCAATTTTAACCACATGACAGTGCATATTAAGGCAACGTGGATCATAAAGCCTTAACTGTAGTTGGCCTGAGCTCTTAAACACATCCTACAACTGCAGGCGCTGTTCATATCTGCATAATTCATTGCTTGTCCGTACCTTTTATTTTATTTTAAGTGGCCAGGGAAGTTTAGTCAGTGTTAGTAACTGGGAAGCACATAGCAGGGAAGGTTAGAGGCATTTTCAGAATCCTGAATTCACAGATGGTGTAACGAGAGAAACATTGCACATGAAGATTGTTTTCATAATGCATGGCACAGAAAGGCTCACACCAGTAGTTTTCAGAGCACTGCACAGCTGGCCAGATGCTGATTTCAGTTACCAATTAAATAACTTCACTCTGTGACTGGAGCCATCTGTTACTGCTCAGGGTTCTGCTCTTGCTAGAGTTTCATACAGACCTTATGCCTAAAGAGTTTACTAAATGTACTGTGTCCTAGCTTGGGACTCTCTGCCTTCTTTTTCTTGGCTCCTTTAGTTTGGGATTCTGCCGCTGTCTTCGGAGCAGGTTGCACACCATGGCCTTTTTCCGCTTTCGATCCCTTTTGTACAACAGCATTTGACGTTCAGTACTTATTGCAAAGTTCTTATTTGGTTCATGAAAGACATTAAAACACTCATACATGTAGTATTAAAACCAAACATTTCCTTTTTGCCCTGGACAACAAACTGTTTTCTTCTGAGTGATCACTCAGTTCTCCTTAGTCTTTCTTTCACATGAGTAGTGAAATAAATATGAAAGCTAGGGAAATCGAGTTGACTCAAAATTAAACCACAATTTGCCCCTTAAAATCTTCATTAAATTGAGACCCAAATCCCACAAAGACTGAGACTTCTGTATTTTAAATTCAAGTAACAAACTGAATTTGGGATTTATAATTTTAACAGGCAGATATATAAATCTTTGAAAATACCTTCTTTTTTATTGCAGTATTGTAGGGACTTTAAAATGTTTTGCATAATGCATTATTTAGGAAAAGGGCAGTATGAATATTAATGATATATGCTACGTAAAATATTTCAAGTTTGCACTAATGTTCGTGAATCTAGTTAGAAATGAAAGTATCAGAAAAATAGTAATGATAGACTGATACTAAAAGTGTTGAATAAGCGCTGCTTCCTTTTCATTCCATTCTAAATATCTGCAGGACACAGTTTTGGAAATCATTGCCCACTGGTGTTAGGGAGTCGATCTCTAAAAAACTAGGTGGCACATCAAAAAATCCACTACAAAGGGCTATAAAATAAAGAAATATTGATAGATGTCTATATAGGAAAAAAAAGCTTTATCAGGTTTTTTTTTCAAAAGTGGTAGCAGACTACCTGCACCTCAATGTAGACTAAATTACCCTGCACAGGGTAGAGGTGGGCCTGTTCAAATACATGACTTGTGGAAAAGTCTTGGAAAAAATTAAGTAACATTTGCTAAAGTGTTCCATTTAACTTTTCACAGCATTGGAAAAAATATATTTTTTTAAATCCTAACTCAAGCACCTTCTCAAAACTTCACTCTTCAATCACCGTTGTCCTCCCCCTACCCCCAGACTTCTACACAACCCTCTGGATTTATCAGTGCAGGAAAAAAAAGCTTAAGTTCTCACGCTATGAACAAGAGGGTTTGTTGTTGTTTCCCCCCCCCCCTTCTTCCCCACTGTTTTCATCTTTTCAGTAATAAAAAAAGGAGGGGAGACAAAACCAGAAGTATCTAAGGTTGCTTAACTGAGCTTTAACTTACAAACAAGTTAACACAAGAGTCTGTTCTGCAGTAACTGCATGGTACATATGCCTACAACATATGACTAATCACAAATAATATGGGGTAGCATTCTTCACTCTTCAGTGTCTCACAGTGTCAGGTTTTAAAGCAGTAAGATGCCTTTGATTACCTAGTACAAAGGAGGATGCAGTATTTTTTACTTACTATTTGCTAGTATCCTGCACTTCATTCTGATCTCCCTTTGGCAATTTATTTCCCAATTTAATTAAGAAACAGGCCAGTGAAGAAATACAAATTTTAAAAGTTATTTCAGTGACATATGACTCAAGTGTTCACCCTTCAGGTAATTAACTTGCCCCTTTGCAAGCTTCATTCTGTTTTCTTTTACACTTGAACAAGGCAAAAAAATAAAAGCTTTCGACCAGTAAAAAGCTTTAAAATGAGTTGATGAAAATTTCCAGGAACTATGGAAGCATGAAGAGACCCAAACTCCAAAGGAACAATCAGCCTACAGTATTTACAGTGTGAAGTATCAAGTACTGTGGTTGACCACAGCTAACAGGGTGGGAGGAAAGGTCCAGAGTGCAGAATGTAACACATACCAGCATGTGAAGTTGAGATCTTGGTCCCAAGAACATTTCATTCGGTGCAATTACATGCTTCCCATAAAGTGCTTTGTACTAGGAAGAGGCTGTGGCCAGTTGCATCAAAACCGGCCATTTTTCCCTGCAGTACTCTGTACCATTCTTAGTATTCCCAAACATACAGTGATGCGGGAACAAGTCAGGATCTGCTACAGAAGGCTCAAATAGGTGGTCTGGGGCAGATCAGATCTGAATGCCATCTCGGTTCGTATAAACTCGCAAAGGATCAATTAATCCAAGGAAATATGACTCGACTCGTATTGAACTCCTGTGTTTACAGAGATGAAATGATAATTGTTAAGGGTGTGCCCAGGCTGCTGAAAGCATACCTGTCTTTAGCCAGCTGATTAGAGCCAGCGGCATCGCTGCTGACAGCACGTTGCTACAAAAACCACTGAGTTCAGCTTTGCTGATGCCACACACCTCTGCGTTTCAGCAGGAGGGAGCGTGCTGCCGTGCTTTGCAAAGCTGAAGCGGGCTGTGGCTGTCTTAGATTTACGAGAAAGCTTGTCTGTCCTCTTCGCCGTGGCAGAGCTCTGCTAAGAGACACTGGGAACGTACCAGCCCTCGTGTGATAGAACACAGCTCCTCCCTGCAAAGGGGGTGCGTGAGGAGCCAAAATGAAAGCACGACCAGGACTCAAAGGCACAGAGGTCCCAGCACCAGCCAAACCACGCGAAAGCCCCACAGCGCTCACGAGAGGCTCAGACTGCACAAAGGGGAAAGCCTCACTCAAGAACACATCTTCACCACTTGGACAGAAGTTATTTCTCAGGGGAAAAGTGACCATTATTTCATTATACACATCAGCTAAAAAATCTGCAGCTTTTCTATATGACAGTGAATAAATTAACCTTTTTAACATTTTTCCTTGAATATAGTGAAAATGTCATTCTTTTTATCAGGAAGATAGTGAGCATAAAGGAGTTCTTTGTAAAAAAACAACTCCCATTTAACCTCTATATAATGGAGTTCACATATCCTGCTAGTCATCTGGATTTGTTTACCCTCATAGGTGTGATAGCAAACCAAACCCAAACAGCATATTTGTTTCCAAATTACAGTACACCTACACCTGTTATAGAAGCACATGGGTGTACTTGATAAAGTCAAGTATGCAAATGGGACTGAACAACTGGATTTTTAAGAAGTTGTTGAAAGAGCTACAAGTCTTACTGAAACAGCACAATTTGATAAATACCTTATCTAGATATCTTGGAAGACCTTAGCCCTGGTTGACAATTTCCAGAATTATTGAGCTATAATTGGGGAGTGATGTGTATCCCCCATGTACTCACCAAGCTTTCTGGAAAGACTGACTTCATTTTAGAACCAGGCTATATAAAAAAATTGAATGCCACAAAAAGGGTAGAAAATAGGATAGAAAACAAAAATGTTGATGCCAATAGTAATTTTGGCTACCTAATAGTTGCATGGAAAGACCATTTCTTTTTTAGGGTTTTATTCCTTATGTGTTAATTAAATTTTATCACAGGCATTGCAAGAAAACCTTTAGTTCTTATGGTCATAACAATGTGTAAGGATATTTAGTGTGGGAGTTCCCAGTTATGCAGTCAGTAACATGCCTGTAAACCACTGAAACACGAGAAGATAGAAGGCAGCTAAATACAAATTGTCTCACTTCTGCTTCTGTTGAAACTATTGCAAGTGTTGGTACTAACAGAAGAGGAAAAAAGGGGAAAGAAGTAGCCTTTAAACACCTATATTTTTCCATTTCAGAAGATTATGTTTTCAACTTAAAATTTTTACAGTCCAGTTTTTCCACAATTTTTTTTACAAGTTTCTTAAATACATTGGAACAATCTGAAATTTTCAATACCTCTAATAGCAAATGAAAGCTATAATAATAAAACTTTTCTGAACTCGCATATAAAGGACCATCACTGCTCATGGACTCTAAAAACAAGTTTCCTCTTGCCAGTAGAATCTAAGAACAAGCGGTTTGTAAAGAGGAAAGCAAGAGGCCACATCTGCCTGTTACCTGGAGGAGCGTTTTCTGGTTCTGTACCTGTCCAGACAATACAGATTTCAGGAACATCACACACACTGGTAGCCTGATGCATTGTATTAGAACAGCTTGAGTGTTCCATTCTCCACACTTAAACCCCCTGATCCTCATCTCTGCATGTAAAGGGAAGAATCCTGAGCGGTCAGGGCAGGACAGTTCTCCCTGCAAGTCCCATTCCTGCTTAGACTAGCTCCATCATCTTCCTGAGGTTTCAGCTGCTGCACGCGAACAGCCCGTCAGCTGTGACCGCTCCACACAGGGGTGCTTCACCCAGAAAAGTCCCAGAGAGGAAACGCTGGGATCTCCTTCTGCTTTTTATTGATTTCAGTGGGAAGCTGACCCTTGCCCATCCTTCTGCACACCAAGGGGGGACCCAGCAGTAGCTGTGGATGCACTGCAGGGCAGAGGGTGGGAGCAGGCTCCTGCCCACCCAGCCACAGAACTGCCACAGGCAGGGGGTCCTCACATGTCCCCCCCACCAGGACATGGCAGCTCCAGCAGGTGTGAAGAGAGATAAGGCAGACACGCATATACGCGACTGGAAATGAAAAGCCAGCAGCTTTGCCCAGGCCTACGAGCCAATGGAGTTTTCTGTGGACTCAGGAGGATTTCACTGCAGGGACATGTAATTTTAGATCAAGGACAAGTCAGAGTAACAGCCAAAAGCGCTACCAGGTTATCATCAACCTTGCAGAAAACGCTACAGTTCAGATCTTCATTGTAACATGATATGAAGAATTGCACTGTTTATGCTCACCTTCCTTTCAAATTTATTCAGGGGAAAAATATTTTAAATTACTTCAAATGATAACATCAACAGGGGAAAAGGCAACACAATGAAGAGGAAATAAGTATGCCAAAAACATCTAGTGACCAGTGACAGGAGGAGGAATCTGCCTACCTTGTCTTCAGAATCACTTTTGGCTTCAGCTTTACTTGGGGAAACCTTAAATGTATTTGAGAAAAACAAACAGTCACACCCAACTCAGTCTTTCAAAAGGTCTGAAAGATCATATGTTTGAAACTAGCAGTTTTTTCTAGCACAAAGGTGAAAGAAGTACAAATATTGGTTTCCCACCCATGTGGGAAAATTTTATATTACAAATGTTTCTTGAGAACATGTTAAAGTCAATGGCTAAAATGAAAAATACCTCAACCAAAGATATATTATTTAAGCTTATACATCCAATTAACCGTAAAAGTGAACTTTTAGAGCTATTACAACATAAAGTTTCATCATACAAAAAATCCTTAAGACAGCTTAATACCTCCACGTCTACAAGTATCTATGCAGAAGAGGAAGTTTCCAGAGTAAGTCATCATCACTTGGTCATAACTGCACTGTACCTACACATCTATCACTCTCAAGTCATTCTCTAAGGCATCTGTTTGGCTTCATTACTTCTCAGTGCCCTTGACAGCAAACATGTTACATTTAACTCAACATGTCCACATGGGATTTTTATAAGCAAGTTAAAGCATAGCCTAAAGATGAAAAGGAAAGACAAAAGCTTACCAGTGTTTTAAGGAAACTCATGACGGAGTTATCTACTGCAGCAGCTGGTTGGGGGTTGTCTGGTTTTACCTCTGCCTTTTCAGGTTGCTCAGCAGTGAGACCACTGACACCTGCCGAGTCCTGCCGTAGGTCTTTTTGGTTGCAGTCATCTATCTCCTAAAAGAAAAAGGGTAGGGGGGTCGGGGGCAGAGTTTCCTCAGTCCTAGCTTGCTTAATTTCCAGTGGAATGCAAAAGTAACATTTGTGACTTGCATTATGTTGCTCCGAGAGTCACAACCCTAATTCCAACCATACTTCTCCAGCCTACGTATTCAGAACAATCGAGCATTTATACATCTCTCTCCCCTCTTTTCTAATATATTCAGCATTTGCTGTTGGTTGGAGGAACATTGTTCTCAGCTACCAAGTATAACAAACACAAGTAAAGTTGCACACGGCATCCCAAACAACACTGCTTTTCTCTTTTCAAGGCTGAACTTGTGAATAGGAACAAACGCTGAGATTTTGGCCTTTGATGGCTCTGTGTCTGATTGTACCATACAAAGATTGCTTCCGATATTCTGTATTCTGCAATTCCAGAAATAATTTTTATCTGGCAAACACAAACATGGTACAGATTAAAAGAAGGAAAAAAGCAACAACCCAAAGTAATTCTTCCGAGCCAGATGGAGCTGCCTCCTCTCTTCCTGGAATTACAGTTCCCAGAGCCCAAAAATAGTTTTCCAGTGCTCAAACACTCACAAGTGTGTAATATTACAAGTTATTCAGTTTCTGTTTAGATACCTAAACAAAGGTCTGTTTTTTTAAAAAACTCTTCTTGGGCCAGTTTTGGAGAGCTTGGCACCCTTCTACACTGAATTTGCCTGCCATTCTGGCCCCTCTTGCCTTGAGCCTGCACAGGTAAAGCCAACACAAATGTTGTGCAGGAGGGAGCAGCTTGAGACAAGTCCTCATGTCCCATTCAGCACTTCCTTTTGTAATATTTAAGAGTACTACATCTGGCTAGTAATGTCTGAGTCTGTTACCAATAATCCTCCTCCCTTCTGTCTGTCTACATTGTAAGTAGAGGGCTGGATCTGTCAATTTTTATTAAAGTAAATTGTGCCTAGCATGATGGTGGCCTCGACTTTGATAGGGGATTTGAGACATTATTGAACAGAAAATCATAGCAGTGCCATAATTCTTCAGCAGAAGTTATCATCCCCAACTATTTAGACAGCAGTACGCATCTGGTCACTTAGGAAACAGTGACTAGAGAAGCAGTTGTTAGGATACTAGATGCTCAGATTACTCCAGAGGAAAAATCAGGACAAGAAATAAAACTGATGAGCCTGTCCAGGTGTCTCCAGTAAACAGCATCTTTGAATCACTGCTCTCAAAGACTGCATGGAGGTCTAAGCAATACCAACAGTTTCTTCCTAAGCTGCCAGTTAGACATAGTTGTTCAATGTCATTTTTACTCTGAAAAGTTAAAATAAAATTGTACTCTTGAGAACCTTTCCCTGTACTGGGCGATTAAAAAAAATCACAATATTTGTATAGGACATACGTTTCTGTAGGTCACTAAAGGAAGGAGTAGACTAAAGATGCATAAACATTTTAAAACTTCAGAGGGCTAATTTGGCATCAGGAAAGTTGAGCATGGAGTGGCCAGTCTCCATGCAGCATTTAAAGAATTAAAGTATGCAAGGTTTTACTTGCAAGAACAGACTTCTAATTCTCCACCCACTGTTTTCCAAGTTTACCCAGGAAGAAACACAGCACAGTAGCTCAGAGTGCTTCAATGGGCTATTTAGAAATTTCTTACAAGGGTCTAACACACCACTTTGTCCAGCTGCCAGTTACAGGCCAGAGTGGCTCCAAGAACAATGTGTCCCATGCAGAACATGCGTGGCCACGCCAGCTTCAGCAGCCCTGCTTCCAGGGATGCCATCTAAAGAGCTCTCGTCATATGAAAAATGCTGGCTCTATTTCACATATTAAATGGGCAACAAAGGCACGAGGCAAGAGACTAAAGAAGCAGGAGGCAGAAGGTATGTTGCTAAACAAAACTAGCTTCATAACTGAAGTACCTGATGCTATCAAACAAAAATAAGCAAACTAGTTTTTACACACACAAGCCCAAGCTCTGGTGTTGGGCTGCACTCTGTTTAGGAGGAAGGGATCCTTCTGCCAAGGACTGTAGCAAACAGCTGCTACCAGCAGCAGATACCAGCTGGGACAACTGCAAAGGTGACAGGTACCACCACCGGCAGCACCGGCTGTTCCAGGTTATCTCCCTACTAAAGCCACACTTTGCCTTGCAGAAGTGAAAGCTAGCGCAGACTGTACAGAGCTTGAGGCATGACACCGTCCAAAAATCCCTGAACTCCAACTCGCAGAGCACAAACGGGCCCCGTAATGACCCACTACTGTACGAGGAGCCCTATGCCAGGATTCCCAAGGCAAGGCTGCCATTAGCTACTGAGATAAAACTCAAATCTGGACTTTGAGAGATGCTGTGATCCATCTTGTGCTTTCGTGGGAATACTGCTGTAGGAAGGAGCACGGACTCAGGCCATCAGCATATAAATCAGGGAGAGATAACATGGAGTCCTACAATATCCCATTTTCAGAGCAACAGTCAAATAACCACAAAAACCTCTGCAGCAGCTCACTGCATAATATGCTGCGCAAAGCCCCAGAGGCAAATAATGAAAGAAAACTCTAGAAATAAGGGAAGTCAGCCAGCATTGGAAGTTAACAGATACTATGTAAATGTGCAATTCATTTCTTTGAGGAGCCAAATTTAGAGGTGATAAACACCTTAAATACTTACACTGTAGTTTCAGCTCGGTCATTAGAAAAACATATCAAAAGAATGTATTCCTGCCAGCACTTTTGTTTGTATGAATCATGGCTCAGTGAAACATTTCAGGCATATAATTTATCTTTTCTTTGGCTTACATAGTAAATGCTTCATGAATTCATGAATTCTGTCCTTGTTTTAATTATGCTGTGTTCTGAATGTAGTTTTGTAGACCACAAAAATAAAGAGTGGTTCACCAAACACAGAATGTTTGTGCAGCTCTTAAGCTACAACTGTGGAGCCTCTCTCTTACTTACCAGCAATGCTGTTTGTTTTGTGTTGGCACTCAATTCAGGGAAACTTTGCTTTGCTTTTAGCTTTTACAGATACTACAAGTCATAATCCAAAAAAAAAAAGAAACTGTTGGCAGCAATATCTGGATTTTTAGTACGATTATTTGGTAACAGTTTGTAGTTACTACAGTAACAGCAATTAAATTAGACTTGGTCATTCTTGCATCCCACATGAGAACTAGCAACTTTAGAGGGAACAGAAGGCAACTGTGCTGCAAGGCAGAGCCACAGCCTTTGTTTTACAAAAGGAGTTAAAGTAAGTTTGGCAACATACCAGCAGCATTTAGTTGACATTTTTTTCCCGGAAAAGGTCCTTAACTCCACTCCACCCTGAACATATACTCCTTTTCATATTTGAAGAATGAAAGATGAAAAATTATAGTCCAGAAATTCAAGGATAAGATTAAAATTTCACTCTCCCCTGTGATACAGTTCTGCCACTTGTTTACGCTGAGCAACTTGAACCCCTGTTTTCCAAGTCCTCAAAGATTTGCAGTGGTACAGCTTTAATCACACATGCAAAAGACGTACAGGCACTTTTTTTAAACAGCAGACCTGTCCTCAAGCAGGCCCCCAGGCACCACAAAGCTGTTGTGTGGGCTAGGATCCTGCAGCCACTTAAACACATACCAAACAATCTACAGCTGGTGAGGGCCTGGGATTCCCAGGTTATCACCATTAATGAGGTTCAGGATGTGGGTAGGTAAAAGCTGAAGACTGGAACAGAATTCAAGATTAATAAGCAAGCTAGGCATTCTTGATATAAAAAAGCTTGATCTGAATGAGCAGTGCTTCTAGTACCTGTTTGAACTGGCACAATAAGATTTAGGTCATCTTGTCCCATCCCCTGATGGTTGCTCATTACAAACACTTGCTTATTTGAGCTTTGCCAACATGACTATTTGCTACCAGCAAATGTTTAACTGACTTCTGGTTAAAGCTACTTCACATTGTTATTTTATTACAGACAGTTTCACACTGTCCTACTTCAACAGCACAAACTGCAATCTAGAGTGTGAAAGGTCAGAATCACAGCAAAATAGGAAATGATGAATTTTGCATTTGATTGTAAAAGTAACAATTCTTGCAAGCCACAGGCAAAACTTACTCTTTGTGTGTATTAGTCAAGAATATCTGCAGGAATTTAGAGTGTTGAAAAGATTCAGTCTTATAAGCTACAAACAGAAGTGCCAGTATGGACTGAATAGATTATTCATTCTGAATTATTCACCCTGTTCTGTTTATGTAGTGAATAACTTGATATTCTGCTAGGTTGAGACTACAGGTTCTTTAAATGCGCATATATAGCTGTCTGAAGTACTAGCAATGGGTGCCACTTTTGAAGGGCAACAGTCAAAAATGCAGCTGTTTAGGCTTAAAAATGAATCTTCAGAAAAATATTACCATTTATAAGTTTATACAACAAATGTGATCTTCACATTTGAGAAGGCATAAGATAGAGAAGACAAGGTAGAAGAATAGAAATTGAAGAGACTTTTGGGGACAACCTGCAATATTGTCAGTGCAAGCAGTAAGCATTGCGATCTATGTCTAACACTATTCAAAGCATCAGCAGTCATACAGCAGTCTTATTTGTAAGCCTGAACAAGGCCAATAAAAGCAGTTACTATTAAAATGGCATTTACACACAGATTCTGATGAGGGAGCCATGCAACTAGGTTCTCCCTTCTGTTCCTGACATTGGACAGGATTTGAGCTAGATTGTCAATTAGTGTATACTGGCACCTCTCCAGCAGAACTAATAAGAGTTATGCCACTTATCCCCATACAGGGGATGGGCTTTTCAGTAGTTAATTACCTGAAAATGAATCCTATAATATATTTGCTGATATCAAGCTTTGCAGGAAGCGTAAAATCTAAACTTATGTTTGTTTTCAGCTCCTTTCTTTGATTAGTGTGCTCTCAGATAAGTTACTTAACTTCTTATATTGCATTCTCATCCTGTAAAGTCAATTCTAAGGGAACATGTTTCCTTGACTAAAAATTCACAATAGCTAAGAGTGCAAAAAATTGCTGCTGCATATTCCTTATACTGGGTATAGGGTATGCAACAAGCAGCTACTGCTCAAGTAGTGACTATTTTAAGAATGGCACAAAACATGCTAAAGAACTTCTTTAAAACCATCCAGTGTCAAACTTCAAGCTCCTAAAGCATAACAAACAATTTGACTTTCAGGTATTTTTGCTTTCCTATGTAGCTGGCTGCTGTTCACCATCCTGGCAATTGGAGCATGAACACAGCTATCTTGCCCAAACCTTTCGTAGAAATACAAATGAATTTAAACGCGATGTCAGGTGCCAGCATTTAGTCATGAGGCAGACATCAGAGCGGTTACCACTCCACCATGGGTTCTTCTTCCATACCTCCATTCAGCCACCCCTGTGGGGGGTTACCTGCAATAATTTTTAAGAGCAACACCGATTCATTCACACAGCCATCATGACATGGAGTTGTCCTGCGCTATTAGTATTCCTAAGAGGTTTCATTAAGAGTGAAATGGATATTCCTACTCAAGCACTTGCCTTCCCCTGCGGGACACTGTTTGATGTGCTCTGTAATCCAGCAGCCTCTTTCGCTGTGATGCACCCGTCAGGAAGGTCTGAAGTCTGCCTTTCCTCCTGGGTATCAATTTGCGTTTTACTCCTTTCCTTTCCCTTCTCCAGTTTGAAGATCCTGTCAAAGAAGGTTACTTGTTTCGGCTTTGAGGCAGCTGCATCCCCTCCCTCAGGTGTCACTGGGGCTGTGAGATCGATGTCACGAAGCGATGCCGCTGCCGGGGCCCCGGTCAGGTTTTTATGCGTGCCTTCCTCCCGCGCAGCTGCCGCAGGAACCTCCACGCTGTCACTTGGTGCTTTGTTCACTCCGGGCGCCTCTGAGCTGACATCAAGTTTCGCCGATCCAACTGATGAATCTGTAGCTGGATCTTCAGTACGCCCTGGTACAGACCATGAAAACGCAAAGACAGAGTGGGATTTAGCGGATGGCAGAGCTCTCCTGGCAGCGCTCCCGAGACTCTGCCCGCCCGCGTCGGGAACGGGGCTCTGCTCCATTGTCTTTGGGGAAGAAACGGCCACATTATCCCGTGCAACACTTGCCTTTGCATCCACTACAAACAGAAGCATAAAACAGTAATTATCCAACACAGCAACGAAGTTATACTGGTTGTACAATTAATCATGGGGACCTTGCTCTTTAATAAACTAATTCTGAAACGTGGAGCCTCGGGGAGGACCACACAGAGTGCAGCTTGTTTAGAGACCCCGTTGTCTTCTGGTGCTAAATACGAGCTGCTGCTCATCTATCAGACCTGCCCATCTGATTTTCTTTCCTGTCATTCCTCACTGAAGTTGGTGCAAGTTTTACATTCTCCACAGCCCCTCTCAGCTGCTCGAGTAACAGCCCAGGGTTTTGACTACTTAGCCCAGTGGACATGCTGAGGATATTTTGCTTTCCAATTAAAACTAAAGAAGTGATATGCAAAAAAAAAAAAAAAAAAAAATCAATAAAACTTGACAGTTCTATATTAATGTTACACTTTCCTCTGTCAAAGCTAAGTGGGAAAAAAGAATGGAAACTGCAAGGACCGATTTCATTTCCTGGCTTGCCAAACTCCTCACAGGGCCGAGCAGTCATAACTCATTTCATTCATTTTTCCAACACTGTTCCTTGCCTTGCTGCCTACTCTCCATAGTGCAGTTTCTACTTGCACTTCTCCTCTATAGTCTGTAGGTTAGTTTAAGCCTGATTTGGATACTTATAAATCACATCTGAGCCAGGCTTCTTATCCTTACTTTTCTGACTCTTTTTACACACAAACAATATGGCTCTTAATTACATTTCCACCCCCTCAAAATTCTCACAAATGATTCCCCCTTGTGTACACACATGGCCATCACACTTCAGATGTGAAAAAATCTTTCATCTGAAAAGTATGTTTTATGATTTTATAGTACAATGGCCCTTTGATAATACAGCTGAAGCGAAAATCCCTAATGCTGTATATGCAGACAGGAGCAGAAGGCTCCTGCTTTACAGGAGACAAAAGAAAAAAAAAATCTTTCTTGTATCTGTTCTGTGGATGGAAGACTGAATCACAGATTATGTGGTGTGAAACCCCAGTAAACAAGAGGTGGCTTGTCAAGAGGTAAACCTTACAGCTCTCCCTCAGCTTGAGCTTCTCTTCCCTACTTTGACTAGAATATATATCTGATTTCCCTGTCAATCATAGCCACAGATTTCAAGGATGCATTTAGATCTACGTAATTATAACTGTGAAAAACTGACAGTCTCAAACTGACTTGCTAAATTAGAATTTTAAAATTGTCAGGTTCAGTGCAAAATTGAAATTATTTCAAATAATTGTAATAGTCTAGTCAATATTATGCCCTTCACATTTTACATTAACAGAAATAAAACCCCAGATACCAACAAAACCTGACTAAAACACCTGTCTTCCACAGTACAGATCTTCAGTGTTCAGTTTCATTTTTTAAATTCCTTTTTAAGATAAGGAAAGCAGAACATTTCAGATGCCAGCTTGCAAAACTACCCCTTAGCTTTTCACGGCAAAATTACCTCAACTTTCCACCATCCCCCTCCAAGCATTTTGCATAATGCACAAGCATCAGCAGGCACTCCCGAACGCGTCCCTGTATCTCTTTGATACCATCCTCCTGCAGCAGTGCCCAAGGACCCTGGTCTTATGCAGGAGGACAACAGAGCCCCAGCATCCAGCTGTGACATCCCCGTCCCCACAGCCTTCACTCAGTGACCAAGGGTCCCCACCGGACCCTCGTTTTCGCGGTTCAGGGGTGGTCCTGACTAACAAGAGGTGGGAGCTCCAGTAAACCCCAGAGATGAGAAGTGCCGGAGTGTAGCAGCGTGTCAGCGTGAATCTCAAGTGACTTTACTGAAATACTTGCCAGCAGTGGAGGCAAGAGCTGACAAAGTAAAGGCTGCGGTGGCAGGATTCACAACTGCGGCCAGCATTTTACCAGCTGCCAGGGAGCTGGCTCCTAACTTTACTTCTAGCATTTTTAATCTGACATTTGCTTTCTTATTGTGTTTTGGGCCTATGCAAGCACGCAGAGCACCTCAGTACAACCTGTTCTGTTCAAGTAAATAGATTTTCACTTTTGTGTGTACTCTAATAGAGAAAATTTCTATCCCTGGATTCTCTCTGTTACTATTCATGTAAGAAAATAACTCACACTGGCAAGAATCCTTTGCCAGCAATATTCTTCTGCAATATTTCATAAGCACCTATTTCAACGTACTGACATGCAAAAAAAAAGGCACAAATAACTAGCTACTCAACCACCTATTCAGTCAGGGCCACTAAGTAACAGTTAGTTTCCTAAGCCTCCTGTAGTACTATATGAAAAAGTACTGAAGTACTAACTTCTAATTATAGTTGGAAACTTGGGAAGGAAGCAAAAAGCAAACCCTTCCCCAGCTAAAGAAAGCAGAAACAATATCCATTGGAAAATAATTGTAACAGATGCTGAACTTCTGCTTTATGTAACAGATAAAAAATGAAACACAGGAAAACTGTCTTTAGTATAAAAATAGGAATATAAGCTCATCATTAAGAAAACCAACCAAACAAAAAGTAGCTCATGAACCTATCAAGCTCCTTTTATCTCTAATTATCATGGAAGGAATGAAAGACCTGGAAAATATCACTGGCATGAGCTCTGCAGCATCTCTTGTGTCAAAACAGTTCAAACTGTTTTGGGGAAAGTCTGCTCAGACACCAGGCAAAGCAGATCCCACCACCAGAGAGGAGGCACTACTGTGGTGGGCTGAACAGAAGAGTTTGACTCATGCTATATTCACAGCAAACTGTGAAGGAGAAAGGCTTTGAAATTGCAGGATTTGGATGAAAAGTGCCTGATATTTTTGGTTTTAGAGAGACACAGAAGTGCCATTCTTTCCAAAGTTATGCCACAATCCAGAGGCAGAATTAGGAATAGAAGCAAAACCTACCAAATTCTAGGCCAGGTCTGCAAGTAGATCAAAGCTGCTCACTCTGAATGAGATTAATAACTGGTCTGAAACTAAAATCAATATACAATTTACAGCACCGCTGTGAGGTTGCATTCCATACTACTACTACACAGGCATTTTCCTTTCAAGTATTTAACAAAAGACAGTCACGCTACAGAAGATTTGTCCTTCCTTCCCCTTCACTTCGTCAGAATATGTTAAAAAGGCAATACTATAGCTGCACAAAGTCCCTCTTCTGTAAGAATACGCTCAAAATAAGGACATTTTTTCTGAAATTTGCTAGATAAGACAGACATTTTTTCCTTGACTTATAAGAAAAACTGTACAGATAAGAGTAATGGTTAGTGCAATGTTATGTCAATGCCATTTCCCTGCTCAGAATTGCTGACAGACTTTCTCCCCTTTCCTTTTGTATCCTTGACTTTAGCATTTTAGGCACTTCCATAGGCTGAGAATGAAGAACAGCACTGTTTGCTGACACAGACTGGGACCAAGTCTGCAGAATTAGCACTGAATTTTAAAAAGCAAGTGCTTAGGTTTTAATAGACAGAGCCAGCAAATAAAATATTGTAATGGACAAAGCCTTAAGGTGAGCACAAGCCATGTGAGCTGCAAAATGGACCATGTAGGTATGGAATTATTTCTCTTCATTATGGGAGCTAATGTACCCAGAAGCCCGTGGGCAGGCAGCAGAGCTCAGAAAGCATCAGTGTAGAGTGCCTGCAGCAAAGCACTTATTTCACATGTTTTTGGGACCAAGACGCAGCACTTGGAGGGAATGGCAGATGCAGGCAGGAATCCTGAGGACGCTACTGACATGAAAAGAAGTTCAGAGCCACCAGTCTGACAAAGGAAAAGGCTGCCCAAGCTTTTGTCAGCTGATTTGCTTTTGCTAATCAGTGGGAATATAACCAGACTTCAGCCTGGTGCACATAACAGATGGCAGCCAAACTCCCTCAAGTGGGACCAAAAGCAATTCTGTCCAGCACTTCCAGATTGCCTTACCTCCTCCTTCACTATAACCCCATTTTCTCTGAAGCTTAGTTTGCTCTTTTTATTCCTGGCAGCAGCCTAAGCTACATACTAGGTAGGCATCTATTTTTGATGCTCAGTTTGCCCAAGTTAAATCCTTCAAATGCTTTCTTGAAACATGCTCCTTTTCCTTAGCCTTTGATTGCTAGTCTGGTTTCAGCAGTTATATGCACCCTCATGGCTAATACTTACACATAGGGAACATATAAAATAAGGTCCTGTGATGTCTTACATTGGCAGCTTCTCACCTCCTGCTATTTATCCTACTGACTCTTTCATAGTGCAAGTAATATTTAGCTGTTGAATGAGGAACAACTTGAATTGGCACGGTCTTCAGCATAGATATCTCCTCCTGTAGGCCACTAGCATGTGAACATGCCATAAAATAAATGCTAGGAGAAAATGTTTTCTGATGATGTTGCTTTTGACAATAGAAAAAAAAAAATCTTTTTTTTTAAACTGAACAAGCCATTAGCTACAAATACAGTTTTAGTATCTTTGACTATTTTGAATACAAGCCAGTTACAAACAGATATTTTGCTTAGCAATGTATTTATAGTACCACAGCATTATCTTGTTCCCTGGAGTTCAGATAATCATGGAGACAGTGGATTTTAATGGCCAGGAAGTAACCATTATGGGCTACAAGGCAACATTTGGCACTAAAGTCCATCAGTGTAGGCCAACACAATGGATTATAATAGCAAATACTGGGCTTAAAAATCAAATACCTAGCAACAAAAAGCTAGTTTTCTAATTTACATTTCTGATATATTTTTACAGATATTGTGTAGGTTAATTTTTTCCTTCTGTTATTTAGAACTGAGTTGGTATCATAATGCTACAGTAGATGTAGAATTTTCAGATCTCCCAAGCATACCTTGTATTTGTGCAGGAGACCCCAAAAAACTGTTGTGACAAGTCTGAGTTTTCAAGAGCATTAAAGAAATCCAAAATAAGAAAATTTTTCCCTTTCTTATGAAAAAAGATACTAAAATTATTTTGCAGTCTTGCTCAGCTATCCCATGCAAATAAAGTTGCCAGTACATTTATGTTCTGAGAATAATTTTCTTTCACTGTTAGCTAGCATTGTTGTTTACCGAACAGATTTACTGGAATTAATGAAAATAGAGGGAGAGAAGCTTGCAGCAAGAATAGTAATGATCATTCTTTAAAAAAAAAACCAACCAAAACAAAAACCCCCCAAAACCTACAATGCCTTGTGTTTCACACCTTACAGGCACACAGAGTTATTGCAATACACCCTTTCTGTTAGATACCAGCTAGTAGCAGATTTTGCTGAATCAGATTTATCCCCTGGAATAAAGGAGTTGCATCTTAACTGAACTTTTCTTCCTTGTGTAATATTTCTTTTTATGAGCAGGTCATTGTTTTCATCTGCATGTAACTGCCACCCAAATACAAACAATTTTTTTCCCCATTTTGTCTTCTTGATATATTTCTGCTCTATGTAGTGCAAATCTCAGAGATACATGGCTTTTAGTTCTGGCCTTCTTCCCCCTACCTGTTGTCTGCCAAGTACTTATATTAAAGTTCAAAAAGGCCAACACAACACATTAGGAAAAGTCAGGATCAAATATGCTATCCTTTTGCTTGCAAAGCAACATGTCATGAAGTAGCAGTAAGGGCACCACTACTATTTAAATGGCATTACAGGAAGAGAAGATGGATGCTGGCACTCCGTGCAATGTCTGCGGCCCTGATAATCACTAGGAGCAGGAAAGGCAAGTCATGGAAAGAATCCCTAAGTCCACACATCTGTCAGCCTGTTTGAGCAGAAGCAGCAAATGTAGGGAACCAGTCGCCAATCTGCTCACCCAGATGTGAAGCAGATGGTGACGGGGCTCTTCCAAATAACATTACTTCCTTTGGTCATATTAAGTTAACTCTCTGGATTCTTTTTTCATTATATTGGCAGATATAGATTTCATAGACTCATTTATCAACTATACCATTTAATGCACAGCACATGGTCAGATCACTGGCAATCACAGAAATGCAAACTAACAAGACAAAGACCACAAACATACATCTAACACTATTAATAAAATCCTCTTGCTTCACTTGCCTTTTTTGCAGCTCTTTTGTATTCTCCAGAAGTGCTCACTTTATGACCATAAAATAGATTACAGTACTATTTCTTGCATTATTTCATTTTAGAAATACTATCAACTGCATTTTCTATAGGAACAACTTCTATGTCCAAACAGCACTTGCACTTTTGTTTCAGCAAGACCTTGATTACATTACACAAACCAGGGAGATTTCAGTGATATCTAAGTAGTTAATGATTTTAACTGCTTTTTAAACATTAATAAAGTTAAAATATAAGTAATATCACACAAGACAGTTCAATTTTTCAACTTGCTACTTAAACTGATTTAGTTATTGCATTAATTAGGTAATCCACTTAAGTAAAACAATGCCATATGCTTCATTTTATATATTAAGAGTTAAATGTACACTTATTTTCTAGGTCTTCAGACAGTGTAAATCATCTGGCTTTTATTTACTTCCCAGAAATCTGCTGGTTTACACCAGCAGAAACACACAGCTACAGGCTTTTATTTTCTAGTAGGCAACTGTTTAAACCGACTTATTATAGCTTGATGGCATTAGGAAATTAGCCATGGAACAGAGATTCTAAACTGTAATCAGTACCATCTGCATATTGCCATACCAGTCTTTGATTATTTTTGTCTAAGCTTAGATTTTTTTTCAACTGGATGTAACAGGCTGAGGGGGTTCTTTTAACAATGAATAATAAAATAATATTTTCTTTCCTCACAGAGATTGGATAAAATTGTTGGGTTTAATTGTATTCTGAAAACAGAAAGAAACCCAATGCAAGGAAAAAGCTGGTAAAATTAATGTGGCTGAATCTGCAAAGATGTGAGCTGAAGCAATGCTGCTCCAAATGAGTGCTGCAGAAAAAGGCTCCAAAGCCAACAAGAGGTGGAAGGAGAAATTAATGAGGTGCTGAAAGGTGAGGAGAGACACGCACATCTGTGGATGAGAGCAATTACCCATGAATATTGGGAGATAACTTTTCAAAACTACTTGGAGCTAAATTTTTAATGCTCAGGCCATGTAGTTCACACCAGATTTTCAAGATGTCAGCACTGGAAGTGGGGCTCAGGTGCTGACAGGTATCTTTCCATGGGGAGCCCAGGGTCCAGCCTGCCACTGGTGTGATCACTCCAAAACTTGGTTGCTGTCCTGCTATGACCACCACCCAAATAGGTCTGAAATGGGATGTCCTTACTGAGTAGCAATTTACCCATACCTCCACCAACTATGCAATTTCTACACAAACACCCACAGTTTATACCTAATAGGGACATATTGATTTTATTTCATTAGTGTACAGAGAAAGAGAAACAAGTTGTCATCACCCCCCATGCTCTAGGTGCCCTGGCAGTAGTCGAGTTATATCTAATATATCCTATAACAGTAACAGGAAAAAGGTGGTCAGGATTACAACATCAGTCTTGTGACACAATTTGAATAAATTCTGGTAAATAGGACTGACCTCTTGGTAATAACATCAGCCATGCTGCATCCCCAGCTGTCACTTATCTAGCTCTATAAATTACTGTGCTATAACCCAAGTTCTCTGGAATTCAAACACAGGCAGTTGACATAGTTAAATTTTGTTTACAAAGATCTCACTGCAGATTAGACATGCTCTGCTCTCTTCAAGAGAGTCTACTACCTCTAAAATGAGGGCAAAGTAGATTTCTTTATATGAAAAGTACCACTAAGACCCAGCTCAGGATCAGAAGTGGCATTTCACTGCAAAACCTCAGGTCCAGAGGCAATTACGTTGTAACAACCTCACAGCAGGTATAATGCCTACCACATTACGGTAGGTTTCACAGCCAGACACTTTTTCTAAATGACAAACAGGACAGAAAAAATATCCCTACACATATTTCATTGGTAACAAATAATTGTTTGATATCTTTGAAGTCAAAGCAATGCACCTACTCAAGAATGCAGGACCAGATATCAGAGAACAAGATGGAAATGTTTAGATGAACAAAAACATGCTCACATTTATCTTATCATTTGTTGAAATTGCTACTGAAAGTATCAGAAATATGGCTTCACAAAAAAACGCAGAGGTGGTTCCTAAGATTTTACAATCTTGTGGATGAGAACATGTAGCTAGGACCAGGATTTTATTTTAAATTTTTTTTTCATTTTTTTGTAACCAGCTTGCAAAGAATTTTGTAAAGTTTTCTTTTATTAAAGTTAAACTGCTCAAAAAACCCCCAGAAGGCCAAGTGCATGCAGAATGTTTCAAAAGAATGTCTTTTATTGCAGTCACTAAAATAAGTCCCCCTAAACCAGCTTCCTACTCCCTTCTTTTTCCCTTTTTCAACTTAATACAGTATTACTCTGTGCTTTAAATAATTTATACTAATACATTTCTTTTGGGCTTGCATGATTCCATCACCCTTTCCTACACTCGATATGGTAACAACCTGGGGCACTTGGTAAGCACCCCTTAGAGTCACATAGGTAAAATGCCAGATCAGCAGGGTGAACTCCTGTTGTGCCAACCTCAGGTATCCCTTGAAACACTTTCCTCAAGCTCCTTACAAAGCTTAAATCAAGTGAGACACATTGAGCTCCATGGTAAGCAGCTCAGCATTACCCAGAGCAATACAGTAGCCATTTTGCTGGCCCGTTACTGTCTTAGCTCCTCTATCCATCCCAAGTTACTCCTTTTCTGCAAAGCTTTGTACTGTTCTAGCCTGCTTGTCTTCAGGCATCACTATTAGGCAATTTGGGGATAGACCCTTAAGTCTAGGGCACATTGCTGATTTCTTTTATAAAGAGAAAATTATAGGGGGTCTCCATATAAACAGCCCAGTTTCTGTATAGTGCCAGAGTTGTGCCCACTGTGACCGGAGAATGGGTTTGGCAAAGTAAAGCAGCCTGATCAACAGCACAAACATTTGCCTCACAAAGGTTACTTTTCCACAGTAGTTGGGGAATATTTTAAAGCTCAACAAATTCAGTTTCTAGCCTACATAAGTTTACTTTTTTCAATGCATTCAGTCCTCAACCCCACCCCCTTTTTTTTTTTAATAGTCTCCTACACTGGCTCCAGACTATCAGTTTCCCCACCAGTGGATATTTCAATCTGGCATCTGAGCACAACATCATCACCTGGTAACTCCCTGCTAGCTGCAGGGATGCCATGACATTATTTAAAGGCAACTTGCTCTCCTTTCCAGCACACGAACTGCTCTCTTACTCCAGTCTGCAAACCAGCATTTCATTGTGTCCCCCACAAACACAAAACCTCACTAACAGACCACTGATCCTTGCATCGGTGCCATTGCTACATCATGCCCCTTTTAAGAGCTCCAATTTGTGCTCCTTGCAGGAACAATTCCTCCAAGGCTTGTTGGAGGCACTATTTCCACCAGAGCCCAGGCAGATGTACTTTATCACAGGACACCCTGAGGTTTGTGCAGCAACCTGAAAGGGATCAGTGCCAAACCACTCCTGCCCTGTAAAACTTCATGCTAACCAAAATCTTCAGTCCATAAAACCACTTTTTGTGGACCAGATGCAGAACAAAATTCTTAGAACAGTTAAACAAACAGCTTCCAGAGTACTTTGAAAATGTTTTCCTATTTTACTTTTTGTTATCTTTAAACTTTCAAGCATCTGAAAAGCCACATCTACTGATTCACAAGTAAGAGTTGAAACATGGATTCATCTTAATTTGAGACCATGCACCAATATTTATTGTTGCTCTACTACAAACCTCTCTCTGCCTGTCTGGCGGCAAAAGAAGTGCAAATATGCCACCCTTTCCCAGTACATACCTTCACCATTCATTGCAGAATGACTCTGAACAAATGCTGCAGATCCATTTTTAATATTGTTAGGAGATTCAGATAGAGCCTGAAATAGCAAATAATACAGTTCTTCGGACCAGTTACATAATGGGATTTAAAAATTGCAATATGCAATAGCCAGGGAAGGTGAGAATGGGCAGTTCTTGCTTACCTGGTAGCTCTTTACTGTGCACAAATTGTCTTCTTCAGCTTCCTCTGGGACACTCATTGTATTCCCCATAGTTCCTGTAAAAAGGAGGAAAAAACCCAAATAGCCCCTTCTTTCTCATTAATATCAATTTACCACCTAATTCAAATTAAGAAACAGCCAATGGTGACAGACTTTGACAGGCTGTTTAAATTCCTAATGAGACCCAGCTCCTTTCCCAAAGGCACCTGCCCTAGTCATCAGTCTGTACCAACCAGTCCTTCTCAAACCCAGTTAAGCACAGGGGCTCACAGCTGCTCACTAAAAACGGTACAAGCTAACAAACTTTTCTTGTTTGTTGAGGAAAACTGGATGCAGTCACACCTGCAGCATTTGTTAGGACTCAGTAGATAATAAGATGGAGTTAGCAGCAGAATAAAGAGAAGACGACCAAAATATATGAATAAATTACAGCAGCTTGGTGGGGATTTATATTTTTGCTTGGGTTTCATTTAAAAAAAAAAAAAAAAGAAGAGAAAAAAGAGGCAGCATGTAAAGATATCATGCATGTAAACTCTGAAAAATTAGGCCCTCTATGTCCTGTGGTTATGTATAACAAAACTTCTGGGGAAAATTCTCACCTGTGGCTATGGAAGTATTTGGCTTGCTCTAGACAGCTTTGCCAGTCAACTGCAGCTCACAGAAGTAACCCAGCTACATTTTCTTGGCTAGTTCAAGCACTGCCAAGACTGTAGCTGCAGCAAGTCAGAGACAACACGAACCAGCCACCACAGCGTTCATCTGTGGTCCTGGATGTGTTTTTTGAGCATCTTGCGTTGCCACAGGTGCAGCACTACTGATACCCAAACAATTTAGTTTTAAAATGGCTTTCTTATGTTCACACCTACTGGAGTCATGGCTCTTACTACAATACAGGCATAATCTTAGCTAGTTAATGACTATTAGTCCATAGATAATTCAACACTTAGTGAAACTGTTCTGATTTCTTTAAACTTTGGTTCAGGAGCAATGTATTTGATTCAATTTTAGCCTTTTTGCTATGTACAAGTACACACAAACCTGTTGGGGTTTTTTTTTTTTTTTTCTTTTCTTTTCCTCTTAATTTAAAATACATTTATGTACCCTCTGAGCTTGCTATGCTTTAGGACTGTAAATTCTTTGGGGCCTGCCCTCGTTTTGGCTGGGAGAGTTAATCTTCTTCCTAGTAGCTGGTATGGTGTTATTTTTGGATTTAGTATGAGAATAATGTTGACAACACACTGATGTTTTCAGGTGTTGCCAAGTAGTGTTTATACTAAGTCAAGGATTTTTCAGCTTCTCATGCCCAGCCAGCAAGAAGGCTGGAGGGGCACAAGAAGTTGGGATGGGAAACAGCCAGGGCAGCTGACCCAAACTGGCCAAAGGTATACTCCATACCATGGGATGTCATGCCCAGTATATAAACTGGGGGGACAGATTGCTGCTGGGGAACTAACTGGGCATCAATTGGTGAGTGGTGAACAATTGCATTGTGCATCACTTATTTTGTATATTCCTATTATTATTGCCATTTTATTTTTGGTATTATTATCATTATTATTATTATTATTATTGCCATTTTATTTTTGGTATTATTATCATTATTATTTTCTTCCTTTCTGTCCTATTAAGCTGTTCCTATCTCAACCCACAAGTTTTACTTTTTTCCCGATCCTCTCCCCCATCCCACTGGGTGGGGGGGAAGTGAGCGAGCGGCTGCGTGGTGCTCAGTTGCTGGCTGGGGTTAGACCACGACAAGACCAAACACACTCCCCACAACATGGTTGAAGGGCAAATCAGACTGAAGTCAAGAGGAAGGTTCCTATTGACTTTGGCTCAGGATATATATGTATATATACTGTTAAAGCTACACAAATAAACAATAAGCAGAAACTATTCTAAGGCACACCTTGAAGGAGTAAGGTCTCCAAAGAGAGGAAGGCAGAGGGCTGGATCCAGCTCCAGCCTCAGTGCTCTTGCTGTTAGATGTCCTGCACAGCCACCACGGGTACCAAGTGCTCTTCTGTTTTATTATTGCTCTGGTTTATGCCTGTATGAATCAGTGAAGGCGCTGAGGTAAGGATGAGAGCAACTTCTTTAGTGTTTTAATTAAACAACCCTTGGCAATTGGAGAAAAGAAGGAAAAGAGTAGTTTTGCTAAATCTTGCTCACTAGAATTTGAATGCAAGAACTGGGAGCAGCTTTCCTTTCAGCCCATAGCCCCAGGTGTCTGCTTCCAGTTACTGTTTACAGAGCTCAAGCTGGTTGTGGTTTTTTCCTAACCTCAATCTACAAACCTTTGCTTTACAGGGATGGTCCAGATCTGGCTTCTATTTTATGCTGCATCTTAGCTGATGTGAAATCTAAGCTGGGCCTCTCTCCAGAGACGGTTATTGTTCTCCACGAAGTGCCTAATGCTGCGCTGAACGGCCCCCGCTGATGCAGAAACATGAACCGCAGTGGTGTGCTGCTGAGAATGGCTGCATAAATAGTGGCTGTAGGACTGAGCCTTGATTTCAGAGTGCAGAGTTATTTTACAGGGTTTTTATCTTCTCAGCTGATGTTTCCACTATAAATCAGAACTTCTGATTTATGGTGGAAAACAGCCAACATTTCCCCATGGAGGTACAATGGCCTCTTGTCCTTGCTATGTAATTCTGTTTCCTAGCAACTTTAAGCATTATCCTATCAGAAGAGAAGAAAACAAGATTCAAATCCTACTGCTTAGTCTCAATGGTAAATTTAGTATCTGGTTGAATCTGGAGGATTTACTTTTGTTTTCCATTCACAAGGCTGCCTGGTTTATGCCAGGAGACAACTTAAGCAGAGGATGGAGTATTTGCAGGTTACGTGCTTCCTTTTTCACATGTGCTGTCAAATCAGTACGTATCCACAGGGAATGAGAGAAACAAATTCCTTTTTTTAATTTATTTATTTTGACAATGATTTGTAGCTTGATTCTCAATTGCTCCAGTTTCCTGTTGATGCAACTCTACTCACGTCAGGTGAGTTATCTTTAACTGATACAGAGCAGAAATCACAGGCTCTGGTCTCTGGCATATGTTGCTCTAGGAGAGATTACCCATTCTCTACAGTGAAGTTTATAATTCTCACTGAAATAAAACACACACGGTGGTTATGTGAAATTTTTAAAGATTTTTCACTCACCAGAACCTTCTCTCGCATAGAAAGCTGGACAAGACTTGGAGGCTATTTTTGCTAAAAATGGGACAAACTTGCTACATAACCCTCTGGGGAATATGATCCCAAAACGCCAAATGCAGTTCTCCACCATGCACATATATAATATGTCTTCAGACTTTTTCCTTCCTTGCAACAGTAATTGATTATTGTATTGCACTGAGTTTTACACTGTATGAGCAGTATTACAACTGCACGTTTGGCATGCTCTGGGGCAAAGTGGCTACTGAAGAAAGGTGACAAGCCTGTGGCCATTCCTCTGGGTACAGAGCTCAGTCAACCACACACTCTCACAGTCCTGGCCCAGATCCTTCAGTAAAATTAGGAAGATAGGTATGTATGTGTGCTTCTGGCCTATTTTAAAGAAAAAATGAAAGGTCACTGCCACCTATAGACAAAACTGAGTATCAGCAGAAGTGATAATACACACATACAAAATGGTATCACATTGGCAGAGTTTCAAGTTGCCAAGCAAGTAATGTCACAGCTATTCATTGCTGCCATTGCATCTAGAAATTGCTGCTGTAAAGACTATTGCACCTGATTGCACTCGTATGTGGCTCTAGAGCTGCATAAACGAGCTACTCCAGTTCTGTCATTAACATAAAATGGTTACATTTTTCCCAAAGTGTTCAGGCCTCTAGTTTATATGAACAAATCCATTTTTCTCTCATTTGAAACACCTTCTGTTGAAGCTAAAATTCCTAAACGTGGAGCCAAAGAGGTTTTCTGAAAAATAAGGGGCTCCCACAAAGCTCTCATTTGGTGTCTTTTTTCACCAATGAGTTTACGAAGACCACCATTTTGAACGTGGGCTGCCAAAAGCTAAGCACCAAGCCCCATCTTGGCACCCAGCTAAAATCCTCACAAGCAAACGGATTTGTAAAAGATGCTGAGGACTCCCAGTGTGCAGTGACTTGCCTGAGAACTGTGAGTCTTGGGGAACTCTCAGGATCTGGCCACGTGCTTGTTTCTAGTGGGCAGAATCAGAGATTGTCAATCACTGAGGACCTCTGTCCAGCTGGGAACCCTACTCTTGGGATGCTGACTTTGAGTCTCCATTGGGTGGTTTTGTTTTGTCTCGGTTATTAATCATGGTTATTTATTAGTGGTACAATCAGCAGGCAGGACCTATTTGTGTCCTTCGTTCTATGTCTGAAAAGTACAAAGCTGGTCTCTGTAGTAAGCTGTGAGTATGGGGCAAACCTCCACTAGACCTGGGAGGTGTTGTTGGCAAGATGTCTATTTTATGAGAGGAGATTTGACAACATTTACAGAGACAAGACACTTTTCAGAGATTGAGAGGAAAAGAGATGATCCTGATGCAAGGACTTTTTTCAAAATGAGAAGAAACCCCTTAGAAGTCAGGAGGAATGGGAGTAAGCTTATTCTCATCCTTAGGCTTCCTTTCTAGATACAGGTTTTTTAATTAAGTTTCAAGCATATTATCCCTGGGGGGGGGGGGCTCATTCAGACCAGCTGGAATGCAGCCCAACTGGTTTAAAAAGGAACATGAACTACCAGCCTCCAGATCAGACACAGCTCTGAAACAGTTCCTTTTCCAAATTATGCTCCACTGCTTCTATTGTAATGCAGAAAATAATTGTATTTTTTAGATTTTTTTTAACTTTAGATGAACTGTAGTGTGCCCCGACCATGAGCTCAAGGCTTGGTAAAATTCTCCTTTTTCTCTCACTCTCAAAAACAATTGTTTTGGTCCTGGCAGAGTGGTAAAACCTTTGAAAACTACAAGAGAAAATTATGACAAAATCCATGATCTACTGTATACTCTGGCTAAAGCCAGATAAGCCTGACCTTTCTAATGTACTGACCAACCTAGAATATTACAATCG